GAAAAGGCAGCCGAGACATAGCTGTTGACGTTCCAGAGTTCCAGGAGTGGAATCCAGCAGCCAAACATTGGAGGAGAACGAGGTATTTTGGTGCTTTCGATCTTTGCTTGTGATTGACAATTTATAAAAATTCATACTGACAAGCAGTCGCTGTCAAGAGCAGATCGCTGATATACTGCATGTTTTCGGGATAATTTCCACTATTGATCAACTTTCCATGAACCAAGTCAATTCTGAACGCTGCCTATAATGTTGTGATTTTGTTAAGGGTGTTAGAGTACCTATAGTTATAGTCGGAAATAGATCAAGCTATTGTTATTAGAGTAGTATCTGAGTTTATATTCCTGGCCGGCCATAACATTTGTTATTTGTGATCAATATAGAGTATTGTCGAAGTAGTTCGTGTCTTGATTGTGGTCCTCAGAACAGGAAAGAATCCAGAATTTGTATTGTAGCTTATTACAATTGTAAAGCTCAAGTGGCAATAACGGTAAATAAAATAAAACGAAATCTGCGAATGTGAACTCTGATTTACTGACGATACTGTGAAATTACATTTTTGGCTCCTATGTTAACTAATAATTCAATGCACTGACAATGAAAACAAATAGTCGAAATTGGAAGCATTTTTGTCCTACACAAACTGAGATATTGTAACCTGAGTATATCGTCCTTGTGATGCACTTCAATGCCCTGTAGTTCCTCTAAAAAAATTTACTTGTGGGTAAGTATATAAACCAAGTATATATTTCAATATTTCTCGAAGAGTTTCAACCCACTCAATTTTTTTTGGAGAAAAACTAATCATACTGGATTACCATGCATGCAATCATTTGACTATGAGATTGAAATCAAATTATATTGATATGAGTATTATCAAAGATTACTGAAAGATTATCTTCTGTAGTCTATGGTATTATTCCATTTTTATAATATCACTATTCAATATTGAAATGCTTCTTATTTGACTATCAACTTGAAAACAAGTCAAATTTACATGAGTATCTTCTCATTTTTATAATATAGCATTGAAATGATAGTCATTTGACCCCTATATGAGTGTCATTTCATTCTCATATAAGTGATATTTCACAGTTATATGATTTTTTTGAAATGATGAACGTGATTACAGTGAAATGGGAACTATGCTGGCGTCTATTCAATTCAGAAATCTTTTTATGGTTATACAATTTCGTATAACAGCTAATAGATATTTCTCTCGGTGATACAGTTAGAATGTGGTTGAAATACTATTCCTAGTTCGATTTGACTAATTTTTACAAATAATTGGTTGTACCACAAAAATATTATCAAAATCAACTAATATTTTCGGTTGACGTTGAATTTGTGCATGTACAATTTTTCTTCAATTGATTTGACGATCACCTAACCATTGAATGTACCATCATTGTAGTTTTATTCAAAAATTATAATGATGTTGTTGATTAAACACATTTTTTTGTCAATTCAACCAATACTATTTCTTTGAGTGCAATTCAGAATTTCTTTCCACGTCCTGTGTGATGAATATCAATTTGTCATACATCCAAAAATACTGTTCCTTTCTCGCACGGAAAATTGTAAGAAAAGTAAAGAATGTAAAGCGAAGAAGACTCAAACTACACCAGAGGAGATCGTGGATAGTGCCAAAACAGTAGTTGTTCTTGATCTACTGCCAGAAGAATCTAAGGAGATATATCTAAAAGAATACGAATCTTTCATGACCGTGAAGAGAAAGAAATTCATAGCTTCACAGAGAAGGTATTGCTTGCTTATTTTGAAGAATAAACTAAGAAAATGAAAAGTTTCACTCTATGGTGTAGTTATTCGAAACTCAAGACCACGTTTTTAGTACATAATAATATCAAAATCAGCAAATACGCGAAATTTGTTTCATATACGAAAGTAAAATCTGTAGGGTATAAGCTCAAAAAGTCGATAACTTTTAGAAGAGATGAGATTTATAAGTACCTACTCGCTTGAAGATACATTTCAGGCGGAAGGTAAATATTGACTGTAATATTATACTCATATTCTTTTAACTCTAATGGAATGTTATTACAGGTTGTATTAATATATGGCATCGCAGGAGCATGCCGACGCGAAGAAATGTAGGTATAAAATGAAGATGAAGATGTTCTGATTTGCACAATTAATACAATTGATACAAAAACTCATGTTAAGAGTCGATTCACGGTTATCGGAGAAACGCCTATTAATGATCTATTTTCTCAAATATCTATAGAAAATATGAAAGATTCAGACCAAAAAACTTTCGACCAATAGTTTCTTCGTTTAAGTAAGACATGATGAATGTACCATGTAGGAATAAGCAGCTTTCCCCCTAACCCTGAATCACACTGCATGGTTATGTATTTTGACAATAATTTCACTAATTTCAAAATGAACGTTTTTGATTGGTTGAAATATCTGTGTTGATAATCAAAAACATATGTTCTCGTTTTTGTCTTTAGGCTTCATAGATTGGCTGCAAGATACCCACATTAGTAGTTTTTTTTTATGTTCTGGGTCCTACGAAAAGGGATATCCTGTAACGTTCAGAGAACATCGTGAGAACCAAGAGAAATAATGTAGGAATTGGTGTTCTTTTTAAATTTATGGAGGTTATATGCCTCTGGGAGCACATCCCTTGGCAATGTGTTCCAGTGCCTCGCTGTTCGTTGGACGAACGAGTCTTTGGAAAGAGATGTTCTGTAGGTCTCCAAAGTGTCCACGAAGGTGTGCGAATCCTCAACTCGACGGGTTAATCTCGCGGGGACTGCCAAGGGAGGAACAATTATTGTTTATAATTCAGAGGAGCATTGTTCATGAAAATATCTATGAAATAGAGTCAGATCGCCAACATTTCTACGGTGCCACAGAGAAGTGAGTGAGTTTGTGAGCGAGGCATCACCCACGAGACGAATTGCCCTTTTTTGGACGGAATCCAACAACAGTTTCAGGCACCCAAACGGTGCTGTACTCTGAATATGGTAACAGTATGCCAGGACAGATCGGATCTGTGCCTTATAGACCATAAGCAGCTGACTGGAAGTGAAATAGCTCCTGGCCCGAAACAAAAAACCAAGTTTTCGGGATACACTTTTAGCAATTGATCCCACGTGATTTTCCCAAAGAAAGGTTATCGCTGACAGTTATCCCAAGCATCGAACTAAATGAATGTGTCATGAGTCCTGTGAATTTGGTTTGTTGCTTCAGAAATTTAGCTGAATTCTCCCACGCCTTGCTATATTTACAGCGTAGGCGATATCGATATTCCTTTCAATAGAAAGATTTGAATTTCTATACATCTATTTTCAATATATTCCAACCATTATCAGTCCATGAATTGTCTGTACTTTTGACGCGTTGTCATTGAATGTCATTCTAACACATAAACATACCCAAATACGTGTTTCTACACGCCAAAACTCCGTTTCATATTGAAAAGAACGTGTCTTCATTGGTCGAAATCTGTATCATAATGAAAATCCGTGTTAAAATGAACATTCTATTGAGAAATCGGTAGCAGATATTCAATTAGCGACATCCGCGTATTGTACTACGGGATTAGAAAAAACTGTTTATCTACAACAACTATGGAGTCATTCATACATTGCTAACTTGATTTTCAACATTTAATGACATACATTATTGTGATGAATGGAGTAATAAGAGTGATAATGACAGTAGGATGGCGTAATAATCTGACATCCCATCATCTTGTCAAATTCTAGGTAGGTATTCTTTCTACTAGTTCTACCAAAGCACACCACTATACCACTGTTTGTGAAATACATGCAAATTCAAAAGACGCACCTTACATGGTTCTCATAGTTTTAATCACCTCAATTCTACAAATACAGGGAAAAATGAGAATTCACTGTTTTTTATTCTCAACAGTCAACAGTGACTACCATCATGAGTAACCATAACCATAAAATAGGACTTGACACTTGACAGTTGCAGATTGGCCCACACCTCAGACGAATAAAAGAAATTATTCGTCTGAGGCCCACACTTATGAACCATGCATCTTCATTGTTGATAACTAGCGTCTAGAGACAGGGTACTACAAATAATCATCGCGGTGGGGGAACGCTACAGCGGAAGCAAGTTAATGAATAATCTGTAATAGTATGATTCATTTTACAACTGAAAAGTGAAATTATATATAATACCTGGAAAGATAGACTGATATGTTAATTCTGTTAATGAAAGTTAGATCCAACATTGTTTATCATATTTTTACTTTTAATCAAAATTATTGCAATGAGTTCGTTGATTCAAATTTCTGTCAATGAGTTTTCGGTGAAATTATTGAGAATTTAAAATCAGATTCAGTGATTTTGCAATAAAATAACCTTTTTTTATTTCAAAGGATATATTTCTGAACTCTCAGAGTTGCTTTCATAATTGAATAGTTGTAGATAAAGTATAGTATTCTACTCGCACATAATGACTATCACCCTATAGCCATCATTATGCGCTCGTTGAATAATATACTATTGTTCACAATCAATGTTGTCATTACTAACGTCATTGAAGGTTGGGAAGTGTCACATTACACACCTCTACTTCCCGCCCCCACTTCTCGCCCTCACTGCTTCCCGCCCTCACATATGTAATATTTCAGGTATGTTCATCAGAACAAAACAGAGATTCATTAATTTCGACCGATAAATATGATGGTTATAGATGAAATAGTATTCAAACCTCGGTAGAAAGTTTCATTCCTGTCTCGAGATCATAGCTAACCTCGACGCTTCGCGTCTCGATTGATTAACTAATCTCACAACAAGAATGAATCTCTTCCCACCTCGGTGTGTAATGTACTATTTTTGTCTTCAATAATCTTCATTCTTCATGTCCATAAAGTTGAGGTTGGAACTCTATAAATAGAGGTTTCGGTGTATTTATATTCATAAAAAAAACACAATACGTTGATTCATTGAGTATATAATTGTGAATCAATAACTACAATGTATTTTGCAATAAATTTATGGTAATACCTGGTTTATTTTTGGACAGCACACGCCAGCATACCTGGAAAAATACCGATGTTTTCATTATTCATATATCTGAAAATTCTAGAATATGCTTTCTTTGATCTTTTGAAAGTTAATTTAATAATCTTCTGAAGTAGTCCATTCTCAAAGTGGAGTGGGATGGTATCATAGAGAAAAACCCAAAGTCGTCTCCACAAATTTAATTATTAATTAAAAATTACATTAAACGTTTTTTTTTCGTACACAACTTTTCGTCTTCATGATGCAATAACCATTTTCACATTTACTTTTATGCTTTGACTGATGATGACCGTTTGAACAGTCGAAACATGTCTCACGAAACTAGCAGAACTAACTGCATTTCTCTTATTAAATTTGTGGAGACGACTTTGGGTTTTTCTCTATGATAGTTAATTTAATGTAGGTGTACTCGTATTGCTTCAATGGTTTTGAACGACAAATTCGAATTTTACCATACTTATCGCTAGTTCACTGCAATTTCGAAAGCAAATTGCATCTTTCATCTCTCGAAAAATATGATCCTGATTGGTCTCGTATTTGTATTATCCTTGAGAGACCAAAGAAATTGATTTCGAGAAAGTAGTGATTTCTCTAGTGAAATGTCTATGAGAAGATCATTTCTCCAATTCGGATTTATATTCGAAGAGTTGAAACAAACATTAAATAGCGGTCTATACTCTATACTATGGACAGTTGATGTATGCAGTACCATCTATTATAACCGGATGGATATGGTGAAATAGGTATTGAATGATAGTATCTATAACTATACTGAAGTCCTTATCACTCGCGACAACAACGCGATGTGAATTCTTGAATAAGGTACTCACTTGTTTTCTAGTGGACAAAAGTACTGCTGGTACACTTGGAAGTCAGTCAAGAAGTGATGTACTTGAGGACAATCTTTGAGAAGAGTACAGTGTCCTTTCACTGTAGAATTCACAGGAGATTTTGGGCAGTCGGGGTTTAGATTAACAGTACTGTCTCCGCCTATTTCATAGACACCTGTAAAAGAACGAAAAAGAGTAAAAATTTCAGTATTGTCCTCGAAGAATTTGAAACTCAGTTATTAGGGTTATTGAATTGCGAAATTGTTCACATCGATCTCATATCTTGACCTTATATTCTTCCAGCAAAATTTTGACTGTATAGAATGACTAACACATTGCTGCCTTCAAACAAACTCACTCAAATATTCAGCAGAGTGATAATTCAAGTGAATTATTATTTATTATTCCAATTTTTTTGGATTTTCTCTCCTCGTTTTTATTAAATGAAAATATGAATATCATTTCAATATACGTATGTAGTATTGCCTAATGTTCACTTTGGATTGTTTCGGAAGTTTGAATATTTGACGGATTATAATATGCATATGTATGAATTGACAGTTGACTTGACTGTCTTCAATCAAATTTTGGATACATTTATGCTATGCATCCTCACCCATCACCAGAAAATCATTTTCTGAAAGTTTGAAATAAAGTTATACAGTGTGTTGTACAGTTATACAGTACTTGCACAAACTTCAAGTGGTATAGGTATATTTCATTTTGTTTTTGATCATATTTTCGCTCCATATAGCATGGCAACTTGAATAAACTCAGGATGCTGATGACGAGAAACTTATTATTAATTCAATTTTCTGTTTAGTGTTAGATGGCGCCTCACTTTAATGTTCTACCTGGATTTAATTAAACATAACTATTCTGTGTCGCACTGAGTGTATATATATATATATACAGGGTTATGATAAAGTAATGCACAAAATTCATAAAACGTACATCACTTTTGAAAAAAATGCAAAAACACGTCAAATTTTTTTTTTATTCCGCATCTTTTGACATAAGTTACAAAAATAACACGTCAAAGTTGTCAAAGTTATGACGTCATCAACAAATTTTTTTAATGGGAAGCTGAGATTTTTATTACATTATGTGAGCCCTACTGCAACTATTCTTCCCTTGTGTAAAAACACAAGCTCTATCACATAATGTAATAAAAATCTTAGCTTCCCATTAAAAAAATTTGTTGATTACGTCATAACTTTGACAACTTTGACGTGTTATTTTTGTAACTTATGTCAAAAGATGCGGAATAAAAAAAAAAGTTTGACGTGTTTTTGCATTTTTTTTTAAAAAGTGATCGTTGTACGTTTTATGTATTTTGTGCATTACTTTATCATAACCCTGTAAATATATCATTTGTGACTAAGGTATAACCTATTATACATTCAATTTCACATACAAAAGGTAAATACTCTTCGTATTCGTGAAATGCAGCCGGTTTTGATGGAAACTGGTTTAAAATTAAAACTTTTGCTTTGGATTTTGTGAAAAATCATCGAAAAACTGTATATTCAATTGCTTGTTTTGTCAAATAACAAAATTGCATCATTCACAAGACAGAGACTGAACTATTTAATAACATATACATCAATAATTGCTGAAGATGACCACCGCCTACTCAAAAAACCAGTCGTTGTAGACTGTATGTTTGTAACTTTTTATCTTGAAATAAGTCAACGATCAACCCTTTGAAGTTTGTACAAGTACTTAATAAACACCCTGTATATTGAAAAATCCCAAAATCGTATAGAGTCTTGAGATGTGAATTTCCTCGAATAAACAACACACTAAATGGACCACTCATAATTTGACTCCATTTCGAAAACCTGTATTTTTTGAAAAAATTGACTGATCTTTATGCGGTTTTCGATATCAGATGTGATGTTTCATCGGCTTCAAAGAGAGCTAGAACACTTTGAAAAAGTCCGCAGAACAAAACTTACACAGGGTGTAAAGTGGAACTATTACATTAAGGTCTACATTTCCAATGCTGCCAGAACTCGAGAAAGTTTTTTCTGATCAAAAGTCAGCCATATTACGATACACTGGGACCTCATATCGAGACGTTTACGTGATTTCTCCTCAATTGGCCATTGGAACAGAAATTCGATTTTTTTTTTCGAATGTCTTGCATTTCTTGAATTTTTTCTCTAGAACTTCACTTGAGCTGACTATTGGGAATAGTAATTTGTTTAACTAGGCAGCAAAGTAGTAGATTGACTGCCGAGGCTGAATTCATAGCCGAGCGTAGCGAGGCTAGGAATCCAGCTAAGGCAGTCAATCTACTTTGCTGCCGAGTTGAACATATAATTTTTTCTCCGATTGTTCATAATGATATATCTCTTTATTTTTCTCGTAATCTTTAATTAAAATAAAATTTGATACAAATCGCAGTTGTTGGAATCGTTGGTTGCTATGGAAATGTCCATAATAATTATAGTTTGACAATTCATGAAATTTCTGACAGTTGTGCGAAAAAATATCGGATTATTTGAATTATTATATAATGGACAGTGATAGCGACCTGGAAGTACTTACACCTCCAGAGATGAGGGAGGTGGCAAAAAATATAGAGTTGAATTTGTTGCCGTAGAAGTCTCGGATGAAATATGAAGGAAATTATAAAAGATTAATGGATTATTAATATTGATGATACATATCAATCAGCAAAGTAACCACTTTGCTGCCTAGGCAGGAAAAGTAATACTTTGCTGATTGATATGTGTCAGCAAAATTGATACTTGCTGGAATATACAGGATGATGATGAGACAATAGGACAAAATCTCATTTCAGTAAAAAAAAATCAAAAATGGGGGCTAAAACCATGACCCATTCGATTCAGTATATTCAGAAACGGCCCTCTCGATATCTATTATTATTAACTCGAGACGTTTTCGAAAATTCGCCTGTATATTGATGAAGACTCCCCGAGATTATGCTGTTCACGGATATTTGCGCAACTCTGTCTATTGAAAGAACCCTATGCCGTTATTGAACAGGCCAAATGAGTTTTTCTAATTCTCTCAGTATGTGATTCTATCGCCATTTTTGCAATTATTTCGAGAACTTTATTGGATTTTAGCGCCAGAGGTGGGAACAAGACATTATAGGTAGCTTTTATTGGCAATGCCGCTGTGGTTCATTACAGACAGATCTGCAGTAAAAACAAAAACGGAGCACAATGACCACAATTATGACCACTAAAGCGACGAATCATGGAAAACATACATTTTTTATCATCTTGTATGTCACAATATTGTTCATTAACCTATCGTAAACAGAGTAAATTTCTAAATAAGAATCGCAATGAGTTTCAATTACGGAAGGGTGATTCTGAGGTATCGAAGTCCAAATTATGATAACATGTTTTACCACCAACCAAACCAATTTTTTACACCTCGACACGTGTTTCTCTAACTATGTTAGCATCTTCAGGAGAAGGTTAAAGCTTAGTTTCGTGCCAAAGGTTCCAGTCTTCGATATATGAAATTGTATAATCAGCCTATACTCTAAAAATCTTTCGGTATGAAATTTCGAGAGATGTTTTCTCTTCTTCTTTAATGTTGAAAAAAGTGCAGTATATTGTTAAAAATGTGAGAATGGAGAACTAAACATAGTGCTCTTACAAAAGAGGTAGTTAAGGTGAGTTCCAGGTAAACCGGAAGAGACTGCTCAAATTGTAGTTCCATGCATGTTTACTGGGTGGTCCGAAGAAAACTTTCCATCCAAGTTTTCTCAGTCGTGATAGTATATTACGTAACATGTGTTGTGAGAAGCACGAATGATAAGGTTATGTGTAATTCCAAGAGTGCGTATAATTGCTGTACAACAAGCATTACCTACTATACTTCACCTAGTGTCATATAGTACATGAAAAAAGTTTGGACGAACAGTCTGAATTTTAATTCTCTTGACAGTTATGTCATCCGCTGTTGACGGCTATTACGCGATTATATACTGGCGGAATAAACGGAAACTGTGCGATGTGCTTACTGTGTGTAAAGAGCTGAGTCTGTATCTCGTGTTTTCGTGCCTACTTTCTATAGTGGCCGTAGGTAAAGTAATTAATTGAAATTCGCTCGTACAAATCGATTTGAATTGGACTGGACACACATTTTTTTGTTATTATCATATGCCAAGTTGAAACCTTAGATGGATATTTTTTGAAACAAATTGGCGAAACAAGTTGAACATGTTCTCGTGAAAGTCACATACGCAAAACTTATATCTGATGATACACATCCGAACCACTTTGTATATATAATACATGTTTTTTAATTTAGAATGGAAAGGAAACAAAAAATCAAAACTGTATCGGATAAAATGAATTCGATTGTGGATCTGCGACTACAGAACACTGCATAGAGCAATTTTTCCAATAATTTACTGTTTTCGAAAAACTATATGTATAGTTATTCATTACAGAAGTGAAAGAAGAAGTAGATTTCAGCTCTAGGTTGTGTTGTCAAACAAAAAACCGTGCGCTAAAATCTAATATGTTTCCCGTGTATCATACACTATTTTTTTCTGAGACAAAAAAAGCACGAATCAAGATTGAGAAGATATTACATTTTATCAAAATCAGAAAATTATCGAGGTGAAATTCGAAGTTTTTCACAGGAATAACACCAATATATATCAATCTAATTCAATTACAGAGTGGTTCAAGATTCAGAATTCTGATCACCCTGTATCTGTTCCAATTATAAAATGTCAGTAGATAATAAATCGATAGTTAAGATACGGACCTGAGAGCCGCTTTGACTGATAATGAATAGTTTCGTCACAAAAAAATCCTAAAGTTGGAAAATCTCGATTTTGAACACCCTATATCTCTGTAATCATTCCAGCTAGACCCCAAATGTGATGCATTGATCAAATCAGCTCTTCAGAGAAAATCTGAAAATACAATGAAAAATATCAATCAAGTAGTACTCTGTAGATCGTTTGTTCCGAGCACCCTGTATTTTCTGATGTAGCGGAAAAAAACTTCATCGGAAATCATCTGATATAATATTTCAAATTTCTAAATCGGTTAAAAAATAACTGAGCTAGAAGAGGGGGACATTTATGGTGAATCACCCTGTACAACCCCATTGTAATGTCAGAGATGTATAGAAATTTAACTGGTGGGCTCATTCTTCAATTGTTTCGTCAGAGTAACTCTCGATATGGAACAATTGCAAGCGAGTTTTGGACGTGGGGTTCAGGTATTTGCAATAGAGGCGCTATAATCGGAAAATCGTAATAAGCTTCACTTCTTCCATGACATGAACCTATTTAAAGCATGAAATCTGATGAATTTCCTCTTTGAAGAACCAGAACAAAGAATGTATCAACTATTGAAATAGACCAATATCGAAAATCATAATAGGCAGATATGGTAACTGGTACTCACCTTAGAATTTATTCACACCAGTTCACGCTGATATTTCAAATCACTGAAATAATACTGTTGTAGAACAAAGATTTTCTTTTTTTATGGTGGATTAGGTTTTATACACAAAATTTAGAAACTACGGAACACGTCCTTAACGAACACTTGACCCCAATCTCAGAAATAACCATTTTTTCAGCTCAAGAATATTTTTGACATATTGACGTTTCGATCCTTTGATCAGGAATCAGTTCACTGCTCTGATCCAAATCATATACGTATCCAAATATTTATCGGTCGGTAATATGTTTCCTGTAAATATGGATTGTAACCAGGATGAGCTTAGCGAGATTTACCCACGTCAAGTATGTTTATCAAAGGTTTGTCAGAGTAGGCGCCCTCGAGAAACTTGCAAACGACCTTCAATAGGGAGCAAGTGCACCAGTTAAATTTCTATACATCTCTGTAATGTCATAGCCAAGATGTAGGTAGATATTTTCTTACCTCCTGAAATATTGAGGGAGTTGTTGGCATCTAGAACACTGGAAAGCCAAGGCAAGCTACTCTTTATAGTTGGTGATGGCGTGGATGAAACTGCTAAATTTGGGAGTCTGATTGGGAGCACACGTGACTTATAACTTGGTCGCCTCTGCATAATGTACCTATATCCATGTCTATCTCCATCAAAGTTTTGAATGGACATTGCAGCTGAAATTGGATAAACAAAGTAGTCAAAATTGGGATTTGTCATGTTCATTTATTCATTCATTTATTTATTTATTCATTGAAGTAATACATCCAACAGACTAAAAGTCCAATTACAGGAGTACATAACAAAAGAAGAGTGTGCATCACACACTTATCTAAGCATAGTATAACACTATGACTATAACATAAATATCTATGAGTATGATAATGAACAGAAAAGAAGAATGATCCAATGATTATGTTAGTTTGATATGACCCTATACAGAGCTTTTTTGAAGTGACAAGAACTCAAAAAAAATATATAACTACTGAGGGTGAATTATTGAAACATCTACACATATAATTAATACCATTTTGAAAATGATGCTGCGAATTAGGTACATCAATATGGAAAGTTAGGCTAGTTCTAGAGACTGAGCGAGGTACATTGAAATTCAAGAAAGACAACAAAGTTGATGAATCGATTTCATTGTGGATAAGTTATGAATCCGGTGAGAGCAGCAATTTCACGACGGTTTTTTCAAGAGACAATATTGAATTAATTCAAAGTAGGTGATAATCATAGTGTCTCACAGGATACGAGCGGTGCACTTTTTGAAATAAATAAATTTAAAAAATTCACGTTGAATGTTCTCAAGTTTGTCAATATACTTATCATGATAGGGATTCCATATTTGGCTGTTGCTCCGAGTGTGGTTATTTTCTAACCCATTTAGATATTCCTGGCGTCATTTGCATAAAAATGACTCTTATACGTTCGAACGCGTTCAGTGATCTACGAAAACAGAAACTTCATAATATAATATCATCTGCAAAAAAGTGGACGAATCTGGAAAATTCATAATTATAAGGTCCGAGACCATCACCTAGAGATAAATTCCTGAGTAGAAGTTACAGAACGATGAAACTTATAATAAGTACTCGTTGTTTTTCTACATTGAAGGATCAGCACTTGGTAGGTGAATACAATATGCTCACCTCAAGTGATTTTTCTCGCCATAAAGATAATTGTTATTAACAAGAAGGCGATTACCTAATGATTGAGCTTATTAAAAATTGGTTCATAATATTTGTTATCCAATTTTGAAAAAATGTAAATAGCTATATTGATGCCAACACGGTGCCGGCAGTATGGCAATGTATGCAAAAGTCGAAAATTATGAAAATATCTTATCTTGGCCATATTGGATCTGCCATCTTGATTTTTCCAATTTTCACAAGAGAATAATAATTTTCGACCTTGAAAACCCCGAGATACCAAATTTGAATAGAATGGGAAAACTCGTCCGCGATCACTGATCCGTTATCTTGAATTTCCCAAATTTGACAAAAAAATCATAACCTCTGACCCCGAATACCCCCAGATACCGATATCGAATTGAATCGGATCATAATAATTAAAGCATAATATATCATATTATGAACGTAATAATTAGCATGTACGTTATAGTTTCTGGAGACTGTTTTATAAGCCCGCAAGGATATCAAATAGTATATTCTTCAACGAGCGTATAATGATAGCTGTTATTCCCGAGGATATGATTCCGAAACGAGCCGTAGGCGAGTTTAGGAATTATCCGAGAGAATAATAGCTACTATACGCGAGTAGACGACTATACTTTCTCTACGACTATACGATAGTCAGAAATTTAATGTAATCTAATTATTATTTATGAAAATAATATACTTGATGTATGAATTTTAATGATATTATAATACAATTGACAGGAATCAATAATATTCAACGAACTCAATGATGGAACAACACAATGATTATTAGGTCAGTAAATTATGCTTCTCGTACTTAGTGACTAAATTTTTAGTGATATTCTCACAATTCGTGGAATTTAATGTCGGTGTTGCATTTAAATCAACACTGACATTTTTATTCATATTGCTAGTTGATGTTTTTTGTGTGAAGGAACTGTTATTTGATGATGATGAACATTGTTCGATTCATTGAAGAATTCGAATCTGCCGTTTTTTTTTATTCAACATGGAATCTTCTAGAAATCCTTCTGCCACCGATGTGCTCTACCAGCCACCATGTCTTTTCAATGCTGTTATACCTCCACCTGCATTGACAATCAAAGCAATGCCCGGTGTACATCTCGGGATTTGGTAGCTTCCAAAATGAAACTATTTGTTTTCCCATTGCTGCAAAAACAATTTTTTCCAATTTTCTAAAGAGAACATTTTCCTTTTTGGTAATTCATGAAAAAATTGAAAATCACAACATTTGCTGCTCGTATATCAATGTACTTTTCACAAAATTGATAAAATTGTCCGGTTACAGTGAACCTCCTTACAATTTTTGTTTTGGTCTCAGGAATAGTTATCATCCATGCAGATCCAAGATCTTGAATATCTTCAATATTTATAGAGTACATTTCTATGGAACGGCAAGCCTCCATTATATCACAGTAGAGAGCTTACAGACTACTGTGATTATATCCTCCAGATATCAAAGTTAAAACTTAAAAGACGCTATAAGTCAATCTGACATTCGCGAAAGTCAAGCCGTGACGTGACCCGTAAAATGAAGCAGAGCCTTCTTGAGAAATTTGTTTGGTAGATTTGCTGGTTTTTCATTAGTCGAACCTTTTCAGTTGCAGTGGATCCTGAAAATTCTGAATCTGTGATTGGTCGAGTGCCGTTGAATAATGAGTTGGGATCCACGGTGTCTTGGAATCATCTTCATTCATCAATTACTAACCTATATGTAATCAATGTAGAATACGATAGTCGTAGAGAAACTATATTCTGGCTCTAAGGGTGAAATTATTGAATGTATCTTCAGAACCACCTCTTTGACCTTATCTACTGTTTTTGTTTCCCATTGAAAGACCCTGTCTGTATAGTATATGGTTTTGTTAAAACGTCCTAATATTCCAGAACGAAACTTGTTCAATTTTTATATACTTCCATGTTGTCCAGCTGATGACCTAATTGATGATTAAAGTATATCCAATATCAATTGCAGAATATCCCGCACTGTGCGGCGTCGGCGTGTTTGAAGTTTTCTTTGAAGTGACTGCAGGTGCGGCACAAGATTCTGCAATTGTTTTTGGATAAACTATACCTACTTACCACCTGATCTCGGGTACATGATGGGATAATATCCCTGAGGACCTGCGATTCCAGGATTTCCAGGAACACCAGCCACTGAAAGGAATAATGTCAAATGTAATTTTTTATTCATATCGTGCTAGAGGGTAGCTTTGCCAGAAATCAGGATTAACCGTGTTTAATACCCTTTAAAGCTCACCCCCTTCCACTTCCTAACCTCAGATCGATCGTAATTCATTTTTCCTTTTCATTTTCGTCAAATTCTCTGCCTTATTCAATGGGTTCCATTCTACGATAGTTCCTTTCGGCATCGTCCACCAATAACTAGGATATTCTTGGACGATGCTTTCGATTTCAAAAATTGAAAATTTGTGGTCGTGCATATTCATGCCTGCTTCATCCATCTATCTATCTCAGTATTGCCACTTATATAGGAAAGTAGTATAGGTAATTATCTGTTATTTCGAATGAGACACCCTGTATATTTTGTCATTTTTGTGATCCTTATTTCCTCATGACTTTTTCTGATAACAACCCCTCTAATAACACACTTATGTCCCATGGATATCCTTTGGAAGTCCTGTCGGGACATTCAGGACGTCCATAGGACGTTCGAATTTGGTACCGTGGATGTCCATTGGACGTCTGTGAGACGCACAAATGTCCCACTTGAGGACCAACTAGAGACGTCCTTGAGGGATGTCCCTGGGACAACTATCGAATACCTAAATCCTACAAGCACTATGGAAGACATCCTTAGGACATCCATAAGACAACCTATCAGCAACCAGATCTTGCATAACTGATTAAGACATCCTGTTAAGTCAATGGTCCGTAGAGGGTCCCCAAAAAGTTTCCCACGGATGTCCAATGGACTTACGTGAAGGACATTGACGGGCAGTACTTATATCCAACGAGCCATCATTCGTCGGCGAGGTGTAATTAAACGTCCTCGCAGGGACAACATATTGAAAGTACCGACTGGGACGTCTATAGGACGTTATTTCTAGGACATTGGAAGAGTACACTTCATGTATCAATTGGGGTATCCGACGGATACCCCTGAGGGACATTCGAAGGATCTCCATAAGGGACATTCCGATTGTTATACGATTCTGGAAATATTGAGGGCGTCTGTGCAGAGATATTTGTAGGAATGTGCCATCAGGGACATCTCATGGTTGTCTAGAAGGAACATTATATAAGATCTGAAGTCATGCCAGAATATGTACTACTCGGGAAATCCGATGGATGTCCCTAAAGGAACGTTTAAAATCATATTCCATCAGGGACATGCCAAGGCGTCCTCACATGGACATTCTACAATATGTACTACGTGGGACGTCTAAGGGATGCTATTTGTAGGACATTTCAAATGATGTACCTGGGACATTCCGTGAACGTCCTTGCTCGGACATTGCATGAGATGTACGGCATGGGACGTCCCAAGGACACTTATTTTTGGTTCGGGGCATTCTGACGTGAATTGTACCAAATAGGGACGTCCCTAGGACGTTGTGTGCTATTAGGGCCATACCTACCTGTTGTAGTTTTCGTGATAAACATTATTTTGTATTTTTTTATTTTGCAAAATTTAACCAATGAGAAATGACTATTAATGACTATTGTTTTTTTGCATACCTCGACTTATACCAATCATAATTAGATTTGAGTATTTATATAAAGAGCTATTGGCACTTACTAGGTATTGATGAGCTGTAGCGAGGGCTATAACTTGATGGTAATAGTAATCTGTGATGCGAATCTAAAAAAACAAAATACTCATGATACTATATTCACATCGTTGAATAACTGTTATTTGTTCAGCAGTGCAATATATGGAATTGAGGTCCATATAATTCTGGAACACCATGTATGTATACAAGGTGATCATGAATCAATGAATGATAATCCAGGAATCGATAAAACTGGATCAGGCGCGTATATAAGGGGTGGGGGTAATTGGGGTAATTGCCCTCTCCCAGATGATCGAAGAAAATTCAGTGTTTCAATCGAAATAAATATTAAGATCCACAAAATGAATCTCATTTCATTCAACGGATAACTACACGAAAAAAAAGGAATTGTTGAATCAAGCATAATTTAATTGAATGAAGAAAATAAAAGTGTCATATATGCACGACAAAATTCAATCTTGAAATGAGTAAATCTATAACTTGTTTCAGAGTGAATTTGAAGTTTGAATCAAGTAAATAAGTCTTGCATGAACTCTCATTTTTCTATCTATTCTTATTCAATCAAGCACATCCATGAATTGTTCTTGTTCATGAAGAGATATTGAATTGGCTCAAACAATCATTTTGTTTGATTCAAAATAACAAGATATTGATTCAATCAAATATCGAGTTGATTCAATAAAATATTTGGTTGATTCAAAGAAATATTTGGTTGATTCAATGAATCATTTGGTTGATTCAATGAAATATTTCGTTGGAGAACGCAAGGAACGACCCTATACGCACTTTTTCGAAATTCAATGTTGAGAGAGTCCCATATGACACTGTATTTATTATCTGAAATCGATTACCCTGATGGCATATTTATTATTTGGGATTCATGAAATTCTGTAGATCCCGATTTGGTTATCCGTACTTTGAAATTCATATTATGTACGCACGTAACGACTTCAATAAAAATACGCATTCATCGTAAATTTTATTCAGAATATCAAGTAATACTCAATGGAGGTATATGAGAACTCTAATGTACTCAGGATGAAAAAAACTATTCAGGTAGTCTCAAAAACATACTACAGGGTGGTAGCAACACAAAAGTGATGTTTCAAATTCGGAACATCCCCTTTCCATGTTAACCAGCTTCTAAGAGAGGGGCCACTGGGCAAACTACCACTCAGTGACTTGCAATTTGCGTACAAAAGTGGTAGGTGTTCTGACGCTGCTCTTCATCGACTTGTTCATAGGGTTCAGGGAGTGTTAGACCCTATAGGGACAGTGTCATATTCATGGACATTGGAGAAGAATTTGATGATACATCATTTGACAGAAGAGAGGAGCATTAGTCTAATTTTGATAAACTGGAAACACGCACTCCTCTCTCGAAGGACAGTGAGAGCGACTCTCCAAAACAACTCGGAGGAGGCCGTTTTATCAAAAAGCTGTCTGCAGGGAGGGGTGCAGATAACAAAGTCATCCTGATGGATAGAACGGGGTTCATTCATTCATTCATCAAGATATTCGAAATCAACAATCAAAATGCACATATTCCCAAAAAAATTATGACACCTAATCGTTCATTTGATATCCAAGGCACAGAATATGTTTCACAGAATCACAGAATAGACATCCTGAGGAATTGAAAAATCGTATAATGACCATAATGTATCTCCTATTGGTTCTCTCAGACTTCAACTTGAGGTATTAAAAATAGGTATTCGTTCATATGGAAAATATGGCAACGCTTTCACAATTCTGATGTCAGGCTTATCATATTTCCTTAGCAGATGAGTCGCTAGGATCTCGATAATGGACCAGATGTGGCGTACTTTATCCATTACTATTGTTTTCTTCAATTTTCTGGATTGAATGAGTCGGTAATTTGGAGAATTAGGAGAAATCTAATATTTTGGGAATACTTATTCGTTAAACTTCAGATATTTCGATAAAACTGCGTATTCGGATATTCCAGACATAAGCGAAGAGCGAATGAAGTATGAAATCAGTTATCAGAATGAAATAATGCCTAATAAAGCCTCCTGAAATTTGTGATACAATTATGATCACAGTCGGCAATGAAACGAAACAATAAATCAAATTCCATCAATCGACGATTTGATAACAGAACGTCATCATTATCCATATATCCATCCCTTGTTCAAAATGTGCTGAACATGTGAATTGCAACGATTTTAAGATAAAGTATATTTGTTCAACTTACCAGAAGCATCTTCAGTTTCCACGGCACTTGTATCATTGGGTTTGACCACGACCAGAGAGGTAACCTCGGTAACAAATGAATATTTCAATGCAAGATCTAGAATCTTCTTCGTCAACTCGATCTTATTTTCTGCAACTTCTCTTCTTTGCAAATCTTGTTTTACTGTCAAATATGCCCAGAGACGTTCTAGTGAAGTTACAGGAGTCTCCAAGCTTGGCGACAGGACCAATGTGCCGTTGGATCCCCTACCATGAATTGAAGTCTGAAGAGTTGGCCCTTGAATCACATTATCATAGTCAATGATTATTCATTGGTGAATAGTGGAAGAATTATTTTTCATAAGCTATCGTTTCATTCTTGTTAGTGGTCGAAAAGATCAGAGAGACGAATGAGTGTCCGTTAATGTTCGTAAGAGATGGAGAAAGTGAATATGTTATTAATTTTTATGTCGAAATAATGTCATCTGCAGATCCATACCGAAAAAATCACTGTAATCACAATCATGAAGTTCAAGAGATAATAATCATAATATCATTTGATAGAAAGATGCGTGATATTTCTGTGAAATTTTCATGTCCTCAAATTATACAGGGTGGCTAAAAATGTTTTTTCAATTCGGACCATTCGTAAGTGATTTGTCTCGAGTTTTTCAAATGAAACACCCCATGTATTTTTAGACCATTTGGTGTAAAATCGAGAAAGGAACATTTTTTATCGCAACATTCATATTGATATCCGTAACCATTCAACTCATTGAAAATCCAATAGGCCAGCTATTTTCTACCAGATATGTATACAATCTTAAAGGTATGTTGAATCGACAGAAAAAATACTTGAGAATAGTCATATCATTTTTGTTCAAGGAATATATGGTTAACGGTAAGCTTTCCTTTTCACTGATATGTACATGAAAGGAAATATTTCCCATTTTTATTTTTCAGAGGCTTCATCTCAACTGACGAAAAAAATTAAACCAACGAATAAGTTTTACAATATTCAGGGATGATGTCGTAGAAGATAAATTGAGAATAGTAGTAGATCCTCAGTTTCCTTAGACATTTCAAATCTTCTCCCAGAAAAGACGATGAGAAAATATCCCTGAAATCTAGGAAAATGAATATTCTATCTCGGCTATCAACCTACAGACCATACTCAGTTAATCTTTTATTTCTGGAAAATGAGATGAAAGGTAAACTGGATATAAACCATGGAGGAGGTGAATTCAGTGCTATTATCCACTGATATTTTAATCCAACGATTTATATTCTATTCATGCGAGCGTGCGTTATATTGTTTCAACAGGTTGGTGATATTTTCAAATCAATACTATATACAATGTGGGTGATTCTGAAGCAACAACAATATTAAGGGAATTACTATTTTATGAATGATTTTCCTTTGAATGTACGTACCACTGAAACGTCCACTAACAACAATTTCAGACCCTCTGAAAAATATTGGAAAATCTCTCTTGGTCACTTCTTCAACTTCTGAGTCGTATTTGAAGTTAACGTGCGTTAGTAATGGGGAAGAGATTTGCCTGTAAAAATCTTGCAGCTGAAGAGAAGCATCTGAAGCTTCGTATATATGCCTGGAGAGGCCTAAGTTCTTCAAAGACAATTTTCTCAAAAAACTCTTATCTGCACTTCGGCCGAAAGATAAGGAGAATATTGGAATTTGGTGTTCTCCAGCATTGAGGTCAGTAACCTGAAAGTAATATGGGTGCTCAAATATTTCCTTCAGTAACCTCAGAAAGTGTAGAATGAAGAGTAAAATGTATTTGTGGCGAGGATTGAAAAAATCAGTTTGTGTATTCAACTAGTCTCAGGTATTGAATACAGATTTTGATACCTTCTGCATGAAGCCCATTGATCTCAGATTCGAATATCTATCAGAAAAATAACAACACTATTTTTAACACGCTTCTATTAGCTTGCACAGTGAAAAAAAATAATACCAGTTCACACCAGCTACTACCCTTGGGTGTCCCTTGAGGTCCTTATTATTTTAATGAGAATTAACATTGATATTTTTATCACCATCATAGGGTGTCATTCGTTCTTACATTCAGTAAATAGCTACACTACAGTACCTTGTGCAAATTTGATCGGTTCCTGTAATTCAACACCAAAGTGGTGTATTATACATACAATCATTTGGTATCACTGTATCTGTTGCGTTTTCGCATTTACTGATAAAATCATGATTTGCGAATATTTTTCGGGTATTTTCCTGTTGTGAAAACACAACTACTGAGTGTTATCACCTCGGTTATCACGCTGAGAAGCGGTGCTTTCTTGTCTGCATCAGAGTGTTATTCAACACGACTCTGATATACTAACATTAGTATTCAGTATATGGAATGATCCATCGTAATGAATGTTGAGACTTTACAAAACATCTCTGAGTTGATACTATTTGAAAGCTGTCGAGAGACGAGCGTCAAAGGAACGCTAGTGTCGCCATCTATCAAGATATTTACTCAATATTCTTCTGTTCACAAAATTTATATTTCACTATTCAATTCATTGTTTCAATCTGGTTCGATTTAAGTACTCTATATAGCTTCGCATTCTCAAAATCATCATATTGAATTGTTAATCAACTTAAAATTTATATTATGCATTATTTTCACGAAATCATCCGTTCTTATTGTCACTTATCAATCTGGATACCAGAATACGTGGATGATGATATACCTATAAAATTTGTATTCATTCTTCAATAATATAAGGTTTTTCAGAAGGTAATTCCAACATCAGCAACATTATTTATTCACAGGGGAGAATGCAAGACGATGAGTGAATTATATTAGCACCAAATCTCATGATTCATACATGGTTTTGATCTAGTTTTGATCAATTCGTGATTCATATAACAAGTGTATTTTTCGCGTTAACTTGAATAATACCACTACCGGAAGTAATTACTTTCCATCCATTTGGTGTTTCTTTTGAATGGATATTTCAAAACCCCTCTGAATTACCACATTTGTGTGATTTCTCACTATGAAGGTGTCGATTGACACCACTGTACACGGTATTATCAAATTTCTAATAATATTGTTATAATATTGCTAATCAAGTGTTGATTCAGTCGAAGTTATTTCTGAGATCCACCCTAAAATTTTTCACTGTGTGGTATGTATGTTTGTATCGAAATCGACAAACGTGATTGCGACCAACTTATCAAGATCCAGAGACAAAAGCATGATTTGATATTTTTGTTTCATTATCTTGATCTTCAGGTCGAGCGATCAATTTTCTCTCGAATAAAATGGTGATGAATGATGTTCCGCCACCAAAATTTCAAAATGTTCCTTCATCAAAAATCACTTCAGAATGCTTCAAGGCACGGCAGTGTCTTAAACTGTGTACTCTTAAGATATGGAAAAAAAATACAACCAGAATGACGATGTTTCTAGCACCAACTACAAGTATGAGATGAATTTTCCAGAAAGGTAGCCTAATAAACGGTTACATATAATTTAAGGAAGGCAATAGACGCGCAAATCTCTACTTTCACTGCAGGTCGGTTCTAACAAAAAATATTAAAAACTAAAAAACACTCTTTTGTAGTGAGTCGAACTAAATAATAGAGAATAAATAGTAGTTCAAAAAACAAAAGAAACACGCTTTCATAGCTAGACAGAATAAAAGGAAACAGAAATGGAAATTATAAAAGTGTATTGATTGATACACAACATGAAAAATATTATATCAATTTCGTAATCTGTATATTCCATGTAGTGTATTTATCACACACTTTTTTTATTATTATTATTTCATTTTCTACTCCTTTCCAGTTTGGCTATCTATGGAAGCGTGTTTCTTAAAATTTGTGAACTAGTATTCATTAGGTGTATGTAGTTTAGTTTCAATTTTTCAAATCGAAATTGGCTCAGTAATAAAAATAGTTGCTGAGGTTGATTTTACAATGAATATCACTCCACTATACAGTATAGTTACAATGAGGGACTTTAATGGATGGACAGGTACTTACAATTTTTGTTATTTCATCAGTAGACGATACCCCAACATTCGGGTAACCGTCTGTCAAGAAAATTATCATAGGTTGATACTCTTCCTTCTCTTTGTTTCTCTGGATTTTTATCAAATGTAATCCAGTTTCCAGTCCACCAATTATATTTGTTATTCCCCTGGAATCGATTTTTCCGATGACACTTTTCCCTTTTTGAATGCTTTCATTCATAACAGATAGTGCAGAAGGAAGATTGTTTTTTTGCTGAAAGTAAAATCGAATCAATGAAAGACATGAGAGAGTATTGAGGTAGCTACAAATTTCAATAACTTTTCAGATAGACTTACAGTCAGTTCTTCAAAAGGTTCCTGGTAGTTACTTATATCGACTTTCACACTTTCTTCACTATCGATATTCCACACAAACACATTACTGTTGAACTCGACAATATGAAAAATATCGTTCGGTCTCAGCTGATCCAGAATGCTATACATGGCATCTTTCAACTGTTCCATTTTACTTCCAGACATACTGCCACTGGTGTCCAACACGAATACAACATGTTTTGAAAGGGGTTCCAAGTCCTCTGGTGCGAAAAAGTGGACAAAATAACCATCTTGTAGAAGAACCTAAAAATGGAGGAATATATTGAATTATACTTGTTCCCAATTTGAAGAATTTATTTCATTTTCGAGTTATCGAGATGATATAGTGTTTCTAACTCAAAGCAGCACCTAAACCCTGCCATGTTCTTATCGTGTTATAGTGAACCGATTTGAATTCAGAATATATTCATTTTTTTTCTATTTGGAGCATTCTTGTTTGACAATGAAGGCAAACCATGCCCTGTTTTATCGAGAATATTCGAAAGTAACGATGAAAAATACTTGAACAATTAGAATACCTCAAAGTTATCGAAAGACATGAGCCGTCTTACTTTTTTTACTCTCAATGTGGAACTTAACTGACAATTCTACATTGACGGAGAAGAAGATATCGTAGCAAGAGGCCAATTGACACGAAAATAAGAAGAATATCTATTAGTTCAACCAACCCTGACCTCATATTTCGGTGGCGCGGTTTGGTGGACATCTTCAATTGGGGTCTAGAGAATGTTTGACTATTTGAAAATGAATATTTCCAGAAACAAGTATCTGTAAATCTGTATATCGCTACTTCAAAGTTGGGAACCAACTCCCCAGAAGTCGATACTTGTGCGCGGTTAGGATGAGCGGGACCTACAGCTTATAGTGGAATCCGAACCACTTCTAGGGCATCGAGATGTTGACCAGGATTACAACCATGAGTCACACATTTTTTGAAGAAAAATACCCAGCCGATAGCCCGATTCGAACCGACAGTACCTTGGCATCGTGAACGGCTATCTAGCAAATTTCAGCGCATAGACAAACTTGGCCACGGCGCCCCTGCATCATACAATCAACACTCGAGTTCAGTCGATAGATGAACTAACAGGTAGATTCTCTGTTCCAGGTTTTTAAGCAGTGCAGTGCCTAAGCCGTAGCACCGTTATATTGAAAACATTCACTAATTTTCTCGATTGACTCATGAATTATGAAATAGTCGACTCGATTATCCGATTATTAGAAAGTTGTTACTATATTTAATTTATATATATAATCTAAATATGTAATTTTATAATTATATTTCCTATTTTATGTGGCCAGTAACCTCACTGTAATATTACAATAAGATTACACTTGTTCATTGAATATGAAATGTAACTGTACTTCATACATAATGTTACAATAACTTTGCTGGAATGATTCATTCGCGAACATCACATTCATAATATTGCTGAACGGCCGTTTCAGTAGTTGCTGCTACCTTGCAGTAAGATAGCGATAATATCTGATGTTAACAATACACGTTTCATTGAAGTACTGCTGCAATATTGTTGAGATATTACTTCGCTCAGTGGAAAGCCGACAAAGTTCGTAACAAACGTCGTATCGGGGTTAGGATTGACAAATGAGAACCTTTTTTAGTATAAGACAAAGTGAACTAGAAAATGTATTGATCGAAACTCATAAACATGTTCAGTTATAATCACATAAATCAATGTCAATCCTAGGCCAATGTGACATTTTTACGAAATTCGTCGGCTTCTGTCTCTGAAACTAAGCTTAAAAAAATTTTCAAAATCACATATTTTTCTGAGCCATCCCACAACAACATAGTATAATTTCAAATCGATTTCTCCATCATTTTCACGTGAGAATTTTTTCTATAGTTAACAATACCATGAACGAAATTGATAAACATATCAAGATATAGGAAATGAGAAAAATTGACGTTTTTATCTGATGAGTAATTATCAATGTATATAGGCATCTATCAAAAGTGATTGCAAATGGATTATATAGGTGTCTAGCAAAAGTAGAAATATGAAATAACTGAATATCTCTTGTTGGTCTATAATATTCGAATACACAAGGGTATATTATGTCTCATTGGAGAAAGCTGCTTTTTCGACGTTAAAACCTTAGGACTTCAGGAACTATCAGTGTGTGTTGGTTGCGTTATTTCACCATACCGTCTCGGATTCAAGTTCACAAGGATCTTATAATAATTCCGATTCAATTAACAATAACCATTTTCATTCAATGAATATGTATGAAAGTTCAAGTATATTATTTATCCATTATTGCTTTCAGCCCGCATAATCATTCCCTCAGTTAAAACGTTAAAATATTGATACTTTCCAAAGTTCTCAAAATATCAGGACGTTTGGGAAACTCTTTTGATTGATATTGAGTATACAAGTGAACTTCATAAAATGGAAAATGAAATAAATATTGACAAGCTATTATCAAAGGAAAATACATCCCTCCTGTTGACAAAAAATACCTACTGCCAAAATCGTTCCGAAATGAAATGAAAATTCAGAGCGACTGCTACTTTTTAGTGTTGATAAACTGCTAACTGTGGCCGGTAATGTCAGCAATATAGGAACATGACCTTTATCAACTAAGAAATATTCAAATTGCTCAAAGTGGAATGAAATGGTAATGGGAAGCAAACATTTTAAGTCATTTCCATAAAAAATGTTCGAAACATTAACAACAATGATGAAGATGACGGAAGACAAACAACTAGGTATTTTCTTTGCTAATGCCACGCAGAAAATCAAATAACATCCTCTCGAAATATATGCATCGATTAGTATAAATAATAATAATAATAAATCGTCTTTATTGGTGAAGGTACACAGTAAGCGCCGTTTAGCCAAAGGCTACGCTCACACTTAACCTAATATGTACAATTGAAGTGAACTCAAATGATAAATGGGAAGAGAGAGAAGTTGTTTGAACGTAACATATAACAATAATATATTGAGTAGGTGCCTACATGAAATAATTTGACGAGGTAAGTAAAGGATGAAATAAGAAAATTCAAGAAAAGGCCTTTGAGTTCATGTTACAGTATTCAACAAGTGTTTTTTCATTTTTGTTTTCGAAAATTGCATACAATTGATCAACAGAGGGTTGTAGAGTTTGACGGAGAGATAAGTGAAGGACTTCTGGAACAATGACGTTTCATGACGATGAGGCACATGGAATTTGTTTCCTGTTCTTACATCGAATGACTGTAGCGTAGACCTAGGAAACAGTTTATTTTATAGTGACGGGGGAATTTTGGAAGTTGAAACTTCATACACAAAGTTACAAAGATTATGATAAGTATAAGATTTCTCATTTTCAACCAGTTCAGTTCTATGATTTTGCTAGAGACATTATCATAAGTAGACCAGTCTATACAACAGAAGTTCTGTACTTTCTGTTTCCGATTCAGTATAAGCGAATACTGATGCAAGAGTGTTTCTCTCCTCAATCCGAATTGTTTTTAGATTGTATATCCAGGTTAAAGCTACAGACCAGTTTCAGGATCTTGTCGCTCATCAGTGTAGGGTAGTCACCAGCCAACAGTCCTGAGTAGTTGTTTTTCATCCGCCATATATCATTGTATAGTTTATCTTTTCAAAATTCATGTAAGCGACTTTGAGGTTTTGTTTTTCATTCTATTATGCAATTCTTACCTCTCCTCCTCTGGAATCTCTTTCGACATCATACTGTACAACAAACTGTCCAGCTAATCCTTCATTTTCTTTCGCCCTCAGATCGATGCCAAATTGTTTTTGCCTTTCAGGCCCTGGGCTGAACTTCACGATAGCGCTGGTGGAATTGATGATTTTTATATCAGAGGACGGGTCCAATTTGTCATCGTTCTTACTGATTTCGTTACCTGATCTCAAGGGTGGCGTTTTCACAAATCTCAATGGACGACTTTCGTTTATCATAACCTAAAATCGTATAAAATCATCATCTGAACTAGGATCATCTATCAATTTGATAAGGATATACCTGTACGTTTAGGTCTTTGACAATTTGTCCAGGATGAATATTCAAAACAAGTTCGTACTGGTTATCTCTTCTCTCAAGTAATTCTTCGTATGTTAGGAGAAACTCTGCTTTGGATTCTGCTTCTATGTTCACAGAAACTGTGAACCTGTTGGAATCTCTAGCACTTACTTCAACATGACCAGCGCTCTGTCCACTAGCAACAGCCTAGAGTAGAGAGAGTAGAGAGAATAAGTGATCGAAAATGTCATTAAACTATAAAGAACCAGGGCCAATTATAATTATTAATACTACTTTTATTGTGAAATGAAAAAATAATATTTATCTGTTGTTCTGTGATCTTTATCATCTGTATTCTGCATCGACCTAAGTGAAATAAATGAGTACAAATACCAACGAAATCATTCTACACCATTATATCCAGGCCAATAGATTGAAATTTATGAACACATCGAAATTTCACATGGAGATGACTAAAACTGAAGATGCTAACATAGTTAGCGAAGCACGTGTCGAGGCGTTTAAAAATCGGTTTGGTTAGTGGTATAACAGTGAAGTGTATTATCGTGCCAAAGGTTTCAGTCTTCGATATATCTATACAGGGTGATTCGAAATTCGGTGTAAATATTTCAAGAACGTATTGTTGGCATCAAAATAAGACTTTTTCTCCATATCAACATGTGTCCTAAAATGCACCCCATTTCGGCCAATTAAAGTGAGAATCTGTCTCCAATCCACCCCTCTTCAAAACTGGGTTGACATAATTTTCAAAGAAAGAATGAAATGAAGTGTCTGAAAGAACAGGGGCCTGCCAATTTTTAGGAGATTTGATCAGTTGTTTCAGTCACAATTTCAGAATATCTTTCTTCTTTTCCTAACCCACAGTGGCTGCAGCTTGGAGGAGGGTTAGTTCTAAGACACATATTAATATTAAGAAAAATTGATTGATCCCACCACTATGTCCTTGAGATATTTACATCAAATTCATAATCACCCTGTATATGTAACAGGGAAGCAAGTGGATTCTTCGATTTTACTAGAGAAAAAGAATTTTTTCTGTGACGGGAAAAAAGTTTGGCATTTCATCTCTGTTGGCAGGTTATAAAATGTCACTTTTTATAAATTACTTTTTTTCCATGAGAAAAAAGTGAGTACTTTTTTCCCGGATATCACATATTTATACACTTTTGATCGCTTTTGTTGTGCTATAGTTCCGAAAAATTAGTCAATCCGAGAAAGAGCTGCAAGTCCTTTTATCTTCCATTCGACTTCGCGGTTACGTATATTACTAAACAACAACTAAATTCGGAATATTTTGAAATCAAATCACAGAATTAGACTGACAGAAGTGACATCAGATATTTGATTACTTCAGAAGAATGATAAAGATGCCTAAAACGCAGGTGTCCCTACTGTTAAAAACCTAAAATTTCACGTCGATAATTTTCAAATTTCAAAATAATATAATATCTTCTCAATATTGAATCGTCCTTTCTTCTGTCACAGAAAAAAATAGTGTATTATACACGGGAAAAATATTAGATTTTAGCTCACGGTTTTTTGTCTCCCTCCGCTACGCGTCGGGACACAACACAACCTGGAGCTAAAATCTACTACTTTTTTCCCTTGTATAATAAATAACTATTTCATCTCCTCGATAAACATTTCATTCACCTATCGTATTGAAGAACCGATTTTCGAAAAAATATTCTAAAGCATGACATACAAAATTGGTTATATAACTTGTCTGGGCATATCCATAATAACATCAAGAGGTTGGAGATCAAATTCTGAATAAACAAACTCATAATTAGGTACTTATCTTGAATACTTCGGAATAATTCATGTCCAAATAATAAGAAGAAGGTATACGATATCTAAATATAGAATAAAGTCTTAGTAGTAAAACATTTTTTGAGTACAAAGAATAATTATATTTGTATGTAGAGTTCGAAATCTCTAAACGATTGTAAAATACTACTAATGAGAATGAAAAATTCCAAACTGGATTAAATATTCTTATATATATTGAACAAATTCAAATTCAGAACAAACAAATGTCAAATTGTGATTGAGGATGCGTTGGTTGGAGTTGAAGTTTGTGATGGCCATCATGCGCGAGTAGAAAGAATACCATATTTTCCCACAATTTCCCAATACGAAAAGAATTTCAAGAAATTTGTTCATATTGCAACATTGCTGAATCTATAATGAGATCTCTGTATCGTCAAAAAGCTATTGAGAAATGTTTCTTCAATCGAAATATTAGATGTGTGAATAATGAACAATGATATGGACCTAATTTCTATATCATGCCACCAACAATGTATGAAAGATACCTATAGTTTTGTTTAGTCCACACATACGTTATTAGAGTGTAGATCAATCAGAACAATCGTTCTCGATTATCTCTATGAGGTTACGACAAGAAATTATGTTTTGGATATGGTGGAAAAAATATCTATATTCTTCACCTTATTATAGATATTTTTAGCTTCTTCTTTCTCCTTGACGTATGCCTTGTAGCTTTTGCCTCCAATTTCCATGACGAATTCGGAAATAAACGCTTTTTCCGGTAGAACTACTGTGAACGTAGCTTCCTTCGCTGTGTTGCCTGCATTTTTGACTTTACTCAACACCAGAGTCTTGGCAAACCGGTTAGAAATATTAGAGTTGATATCCATAGCGTAAATGAGGGGATGTGTGGCTTCAACATCATTGAATATCCCCTGTAATTTATGAATATGTTACAAATTATCAAATGTACGATGTACGATTTTCCAATTGATTCCAAGATGAGTGTCATACTTGGAAAGAAACGTTTTCCATATCGTGGAAATCATTCAACCAATTCTAATATTCACAAAAAAACATTTTTACGCCTATCTCTATCCAAAGTATGCATTTCCTGACCTCATTGTTAGATTTATAGGAAGCAAAGTCGTACTTTTGCTCCCTACATTTTCTGACCTAACTTTTTGAAAAGTGAAAGTGTCGTCATGGCACGTCATCGATGAAATAACTCATTGCGGCATTGCTAACCTAAACTTTATTTCATTATACAGGGTTATTCACGCGTTATTCGACACAATGCATTGTGCTCGGCATTGTGGCTAGTTGATTTGGTTTTTTGACAGCTTTTTTTATGGATCGAGACCGCTATATTTCATGCCAAAAACACGAAATGTATCAAAGTTGCTATTTTTGAAAGGAATATGTTGTGCATTTTCAGATTCTTCCTGTAGAGCTGTCACTCGGGTAGCGAAAATGATTACAGAGATATAGGCGGTGTTCAAAATCGAGATTTTCAAAATTTGGGATGTTTGGTGCCAAATCTATTCATTATCAGTCAAAACGACTTGCATGTACCTATCTCAACTCTTGATTTACTATCTACTCACATTCAATTGGAACAGATACAGGGTGGTTCAAGATTCAGAATTCTGATTACCCCGTATCTGTTCGAAATACTCTTACACATTTTAGAAATATTTAATATGCAAGAATGAAAATAATGTGCCTATAAGTTATGCTGTAACTAGTTCATAGTTTTAGTTCTATGATCCATTTTGGTTATTTCATGAATGAATTATGTGAATTATTATGTTGCAAGAAAGTTCGACATTGTGTAACTCGAAAACTATATATTATGATCGTTTCGTCTCCCAATCGCCTAAGCAATTTCCTCTTGTAGTCTGGCCATACTCAAATAATACCCTGTATATAATGTTTGATACATCAATGAACAGTTATATAACATCAACCCCACTTTTGTTTATCCATTTTTGAAATATCCGCTTTTTGTTATATTATTACAGAATAGATGAAATATTACAAACACATGCATAAGATTTTTTAAGAAATTCTCATATATTTTCAAATTCTCGAATTTCGTTTACATATTCTCGATAGCATTCTATTCAAACAAAACTCAAAACCGAATGCCGACTCAAAGTACGACAAGTCTTTTGAAAAAAATCATGTGTTGAAATTTTTTGCTTTGAAATTATTCGTCTATTCTATGCGAAATATTTTCTCGATCGCTATACAGTTTAACAAAAGGACGAATATTGTCGTAAGCATAAGGGTTTCGAACAACCCCGCAACTATAGCCTATTCGTGAAAACTTGTTTGTTGTCCCAGATATTCTGTATACCTAAGATTTGTGGGGAGGAACTGAATTACAAAACTTTCGAAATCATCCTTTCAGTATAGGGTATAGGTAATGTTTCACTTACTTCCTTTCCAATTATTGTTTGCGATCGATCTGTCGAAGACACCACGAAACTATTATCACTAGGAGCTGCTAACGTGAAAACAAAAACTGCCGCCAAAAATGGCAAAGCAAAGAAAATCATCTTCTACAGGCCTTCTCTTCACTGTTTGCTCAAGAACTGAGTCAACAACGATCTCAAATTATGGAACTGTTGGTTTTTGTTAGTTTATCAGAGATTAATCGACCAACATCAACAATTCGATTATAAACACCAGAGGTTATATACAAGGTGACCCAACAAGAATCTCCACTCAATTAGAATATGAAAGAGAATATCACCGTATAAATAGGAGATTTCATGAAACTGATCCGCCCAGGACAATTCCAGCCCTCAAACAACGAACTTGTGATGAAACGATTTGTTGACACTTTGAAACAAATGGCTACTCTTTTATTTCTCATTATAGTATTGGAAATTATCAATTCAATAATTCGTCATCAATTGAATTATTGAAGAAATATACCCGTTTCACATTTGTAAACCTGGTACTATTGAAGAGTTCCGCGAAAGTATAGGTCAGACATCTGGTAAAGTCTGCATGGAATAAATAATAAGCTGGTTCTAGGTGAATGATGCTATAACCAAATAACTTTCATGTGTCAGCCTAGCAAGAATAAAACAAAATCAGATGGACAAGTCAACCCTCAGTGAGCAGTATATATTTGTGCAGAGTACTCGTATTCTATGCTAGATTTCTTAGAAACGAACAGTTCACAGAGCGTGATTCTGTTAGAAGTGCACTGTGTCCATATTAGAATTGAACTATGTATTCCTTAGAACAAATGGGGCATTATTGCATCATCTTGGAAATTTTGAGACACCCTTTCGGGAGTGTATCAGGCTAGCATGCCAAAGATTGTGTGGTCATCTCAGCCATTTTATGGCTAGTTATGCCATTTTTAAACTCATCTAGTTGCTAAAAACTCCATCTAGCCATTTAGCAATTCTTCCTAGCTACTTTTCAGTCTGACTCTATAAAAATATTTTCATATTTATCAAATTCCCAAAGATAGTTCATTATATCCACGATCTAATATAAGTCGAATTCAGACCAGTCTATATTTCTATGGTATTTGTACTTCATGCTTTGTGCCATTTTGACAAATTGACAATGACGTCAACACATCACTTCATACGTCGATGTCAATACTACTACGGTCTTCACATAATTTTCAATGTCAAATTCATAGTCCAAGGTCAAATTTCTTTTGAAAAACTGCAAATATGGCTAGATTTGGCAAAAATTACTAGAAATTTATTCGCCTGCAGCGCACTTCGCTTTGATATTTAGCCATATTTTAGCCTTTTTTTAACGATTATCTAGCCCGTTTTGAAATCGGCTGTTATAGCAACACAGCCAAAGAATCTTCCAATCAATGATTTAGGTTGGTCAAACAAACGATCACCTTGCTTTCTCATTATGTGAGAATATTCAATAGAATTCTAGAATTCCTGACGATAATATCTAACCTATTATTTGATAATATACATGGTGTTTCATCTGCAAATCAAAGTATGGAATGGAGGTTGAACTTCAAGGGATGGAAAACCTCAGATCACGGACCGCGAAGGAAAAAACTAGGGTGGATCGTTTTCGTTAGACCACCGTGTACATGAATAGTTCATATGAGTGTTAGTATACATACCGCTATCATATCTCAATTGATGCTTGGGTTATCCCGACTCGTTAATAGCGTTAATAGCAATAATTCCTACTAAAAGCTGTAGCAATCATGTTGATTTTTGGAAAATCATTATCCAATTTCTCAATAAAATGAAGATGTACGTAGCTACATACTTCGAATTTCGAAATGATGAAATGATTATATTGTCATTTCCAAAGAAATTATTTATTTTTCATAATGCTAAAAGTTGAAAAATTAAATGCTCATTTGCGAACAATTCGTTTCCAAGATGAACTTTTGAATAGTGACAAAAATGATTCATTTACAAGAATCTCTGAGTGCGAGAGCTGTATGGGTATTTATTTCTCTACTTATTTGGGTTTATTAAAATATCCATGTCTTCGAAATATTCCAATTTCCATTCGTAAAAGAATAAAGAATCATCTAATATTCGAGATATGTTTTGTATATTATTATATTATTCTTTCACTATTGGGACTTACCGCCCTCGCCTCACACCTTTTCCAATTTTAGTTCAAAAAGAGTCAAGTTAATTTCAAAAAGTATCAATTGTATTTCGAATAAGTCATTTCAATTTCAGAAAGTGTCAGGAGTATTTCAAAATTATCATTTCAATGGGCTTATATCACAAAAAAAATTTATTTCATAATTCAATAGACCTCACCCAAACTAGCTCACCACCGCAAACCGTTTCTTGCTGTGAGCTCCCTACGTTTTATAAAAAATTATTGAAATCCCCGATTTTTCGGACCTCCGAAAACGAGGCGATGACGTGACGTCAAAACCCTAATACTGAAACAAGACTATTCCAGACAGAGATGAATGATAAATGATTTCTGACAGAGTGAATTAGCGCGAGATCACAGTTGAAAGAATTAATATATCAGTTGCCTCAGTCTCCATCGGGCTTTTGGTATTTTCTTTTAACTAAGGCGAGATGAGGTTTCTACGTCATTAGGAGGGTCCGTTTTCAGATGGTACTATTATTTATGTCTAAAAATAAAACATTTCAGTTAATTTTTCGATCGAATTATGTCGTCAATCATTATTTATGTATAAAAGGAGCATTATAAACATGGTTTGAGTTAAAAGTTCTACTAAGGTGTACAGGCCCATTTCAAAATGCGTCATAATTTTATTTCAAATTAGTAATTTTAATTTCAAGAAGTATCGAATGTATTTCAAAATTATCAATTCAATTTCAAAATGCGACAATTGTATTCAAAATTAGTCATATTGATTTCAAAATAGTCCATTTCAATTTCAAAATCCATCATTTCAATTTCAAAATAAATCATTTTTATTGAAGATGCCACAATGACAAAAACCAGAAGCCAGAAGCGTTTCAATAACGCCTATCTAACCTTTGCCAGTGGGTTTTCAGATTTGAAATTTAAATGATTCATTATGAAATACATTTTATATTTTTTGAAATACAAATGACAATTTTAGAATATGAAGTGTGAGTTTTTGTAATTAATTTGATAAATTTGATATTCAATTGATGGTTTTTTCAATTAAAATGACTAATTTGAAATATGATTGACACCTTCTGAAATTGAATAGATAATTTTGAAATACATTTGATACTTTTCGAAATTGAATTGACTAATTTGAAATACAAATGATGCTTTTCAAAATCCAAATGACAATTTGAAAATACAATTGTCGCATTTTGAAATTGAATTGATAATTTTGAAATACATTCGATACTTCTTGAAATTAAAATCACTAATTTGAAATAAAATTATGACGCATTTTGAAATGGGCCTGTACACCTTAGTAGAACTTTTAACTCAAACCATGTTTATAATGCTCCTTTTATATATAAATAATGATTGACGACATAATTCGATCGAAAAATTAACTGAAATGTTTTATTTTTAGACATAAATAATAGTACCATCTGAAAACGGACCCTCCTAATGTCGTAGAAACCTCATCTCGCCTTAGTTAAAAGAAAATACCAAAAGCCCGATGGAGACTGAGGCAACTGATATATTAATTCTTTCAACTGTGATCTCGCGCTAATTCACTTTGTCAGAAATCATTTATCATTCATCTCTGTCTGGAATAGTCTTGTTTCAGTATTAGGGTTTTGACGTCACGTCATCGCCTCGTTTTCGGAGGTCCGAAAAATCGGGGATTTCAATAATTTTTTATAAAACGTAGGGAGCTCACAGCAAGAAACGGTTTGCGGTGGTGAGCTAGTTTGGGTGAGGTCTATTGAATTATGAAATAAATTTTTTTTGTGATATAAGCCCATTGAAATGATAATTTTGAAATACTCCTGACACTTTCTGAAATTGAAATGACTTATTCGAAATACAATTGATACTTTTTGAAATTAACTTGACTCTTTTTGAACTAAAATTGGAAAAGGTGTGAGGCGAGGGCGGTAAGTCCCAATAGTGAAAGAATAATATAATAATATACAAAACATATCTCGAATATTAGATGATTCTTTATTCTTTTACGAATGGAAATTGGAATATTTCGAAGACATGGATATTTTAATAAACCCAAATAAGTAGAGAAATAAATACCCATACAGCTCTCGCACTCAGAGATTCTTGTAAATGAATCATTTTTGTCACTATTCAAAAGTTCATCTTGGAAACGAATTGTTCGCAAATGAGCATTTAATTTTTCAACTTTTAGCATTATGAAAAATAAATAATTTCTTTGGAAATGACAATATATTCATTTCATCATTTCGAAATTCGAAGTATGTAGCTACGTACATCTTCATTTTATTGAGAAATTGGATAATGATTTTCCAAAAATCAACATGATTGCTACAGCATTTATTAGGAATTATTGCTATTAACGCTATTAACGAGTCGGGATAACCCAAGCATCAATAAAGATATGATAGCGGTATGTACTAACACTCATATGAACTATTCATGTACACGGTGGTCTAACGAAAACGATCCACCCTAGTTTTTTCCTTCGCGGTCCGTGATCTGAGGTTTTCCATCCCTTGAAGTTCAACCTCCATTCCATACTTTGATTTGCAGATGAAACACCATGTATATTATCAAATAATAGGTTAGATATTATCGTCAGGAAATCTAGAATTCTATTGAATATTCTCACATAATGAGAAAGCAAGGTGATCGTTGTAATTTGAAATACAAATGATGCTTTTCAAAATCCAAATGACAATTTGAAAATACAATTGACAATTTTTGAACTAAAATTGAAAAAGGTGTAGTCCAAGAACCAGCTGCAGATTTCGACCGTCATCTGATAATGAAATGATTCATGTCCCAAAGGCAAGTAAAATTGTAAAACCATTGTATATAGTTTATCAAACTGTACCTGTGCCAATCACTATCCTGAGCAAGATGATTGAAAAATATTGCACTTTCCTGTGCCGAATTATGCATTCGATTTCGCAATAAGAATTATATATAATTAAATCTACCTGTGCCCACCTCAGTCTGAGCCAAATCCACGGCAAAGCGATTTATTCGCTGCTATTTATTCCGCCATGTGATAACGAGTGGAAACAAGAAGCAAATAGAAGGCGATGGAAGATCTCAAAATCCATAATGAAAAATACAGGGCCGATTTTGAAAAAACGAAGTTGATGATGGCAGCTCAAAGACGAAAAAATAGCATTGGGAATGTGTAATTGGTTTTGTAACATCTATTCAAATAAAGTCATGAAAGAGAAATTAAATTGCGAATATTCGGTTGCGACAAGAATCTTTGGAAGTATTCGGAATTTTTCAATTTTCAAAACGGTATTTCTTAGGAATAATGTCGCGCAACATTGCCACATTTTAATCGAACCTGTATCTCTTACGGCTAACGAGATCCCGATAATGGAGCTAGAATTCCAGTAACCCTGTACAATGTGACCAGGTATTATCAACGATAGGCAATATGGCTTCCGTCATCAGAGATCAACTGGTGACCTGCTCGCTAATGTCTCACATAATATATGGCAGCAATCTATTGAAAAGTATGGGGAAACCTCAGCCGTGGCACTGGATATCTCCAAAGCATTCGATCGAGTCTGGCACCACGGACTCCTCGCCAAGCTTCCATCTCTGCTAGCTAGTATTCTCTCAAACAGGTCTCTCCATGTAGTAGTCGACGGAGTTTCATCTGACTCTGTTACCATAATTGCTGGTGTTCCGCAAGGATCAATTATAGCACCAACACTATTTCTATTCCATATCAACGATTTGTTGGAAGCAACTTCATGTCCAGTACACAGCTTTGCGGATAATAGTACCATCTATACCGCCTTCTCTCCTAGGGCTCCGATACCAGCCAGGCAAATCAGAAACAAACGAGGAAGAAATGTTGACAACATAAATATGGACTTGGCAACAATTCTTGAATGGGGATCCAATAACTTGGTAGATTTCAATGCAAACAAAACACAAGCAAGCCTTTTCTCTAGAAAAGCCGATCACACTGTGCCAAACATAAGCATGTCAGGAGTAACCATACCTTTGAAGACATCCATTTCGATGCTTGGTATTACTGTCAGCAATAACCTTTCTTGGGAAAATCACGTGAGATCAATTGCTAAAAGTGCATCCCAAAAACTTGGTTTTCTGTTTTGAGCTAGGAGCAATTCTACTTCCAGTCAGCTGCTTATGATCTATAAGGCACAGATCCGACCTGTCCTGGAATACTGTTCCCATATTTGAAGTGCAGCACCCAAACATACTCTGAAACTGCTGGATTCTGTCCAAACAAGGACAATCCGTCTCGTGGGTGATGCCTCGCTCACAAATTTCTCTGGAACTCCGTAGGAGAGTTGGCGATCTGGCTCTATTTTATAGATAGTTTCATGGACGATGCTCTTCGTGGTCACTTTGGAGACCTGCAGAACATCTTTTTCCAAAGATTCGTTCATCCAACGAACAGCGAGGCTCTGGAACACATTGCCAAGGGAGGTGTTCACCGAGGCATATAACCTCCAGAACTTTAAGAAGAACACCAATTCCTACCTTATTTCCCTTGGTTCTCACGATGTTCTCTGAACATTACAGGATATCCCTTTTCGTGGGAACCAGAACATAAAAAAAAAGATGAGGTTGCACAGCATGGGGATCTCAGGAACAGTCGGTTGAATGAAAAAACAGTGGCATATTCAGAGGGTCATTCCAACTACTTTCGGAAATGGTCAACATTATTAATTGATTTTCAGTCATTTAAAAAAAAGATAATGTTTCTAAAATCTCTTCAATTTCCTTTTACGTTATATTTTATTTCATTGAGATACAGAACATCTGGAAATGCTTTTCAACATAAATTTTTAATAATATTTAATGTGATGATATTGATTTCTCTATTCAACATCGTAATTTTTTTAATACGTCTCTCATCATGTGTTCACGATTCTGAAAAGCCTTTGTTTCAACCATCATCAATGGTTTTCGAAATCCCAAATAACGAATATAGTTTTTTTATTAATAATTTTTCATTTTATTCGTTGTTCCTCATGCACAAGCAGAACTGTTTTTTTTTTGTTGTTGTGTTGTTATTTTTTTTTAGTATTGATAGAATATTTTCAGATTTTTACTCGTTTCTCTTAACCACCTGATGTTTATTTTTGTTGAATATAAGATTTCGTCGAACTTATTACGAATATTTTGGAAACCATTTCAGTTCCCTCTACACATCACTAGTATACCTATACCCAAATTCCAAAATGCAAATTTGGTTCTCATTTTGGAAAAGAAGTTAATTTTAATTTGTTGCTACAATTTGAACTTGATGAAAGCCTAATAAAATCCAATATCTTCGGGAAGAGATAAGTATACCGCTGTAATGTTATCTCGTCTTTTCATGAATTTTATTATAGAAACACCCTTCATACTAGTAGTATATCGAAAACTGGAACTTTTGGTAAGTACGATAATCGCATCGACATGTGTTTCCTAACTATGTTTTCATCTCCAGGAGAATATTAGAAATGTACTGTAACTGTCATACTATCGACTGGGCATCATTCGGTAATTGAAGCAACAGGAACAATTTCTATCGGAAATTTATTCATTCAAAAAGTATTATGTATCTTCATGCAGTGTTGTCTAGGTTCCACACTTCATTTGTGTTGTTAGTTAACATGTTTTCTTGGACAGCATACGCCAGCATATCTGAAAGAATACATATAACATAATTGATAAAATGATCATCATCATATCAAAAATAATATTGCTTATAATGAAAATAGCTGTCAATTGTGGGGCATCACCAAGACACAAGCCTTTCGATATCTGAAGTGAAGCAGTGACGATCGCGGTTAGTAGGCCATATCACAAAGTATTGAACCTTATCGTCAATCTGTGAAAATATTGTTATCAATGAGCACAAGATATGGTATGTTGGACCTGTTAAAGATCCCTAACTCTGGTTGGAACATCAGAGGATTCGGTAAAATTTCCTGTTGGTGTGCTCACTGGCATCGGTGATTAGGCTCAGTAGCATATAGAGGCCGACGTTGAAGAAACAAGGATGGGAAAAACAGAAATTCGATGGGATTCTCTCCAAGAAAGGGCAATTCGTCTCTTGGGTGATGCCTCGCTCACAAACTCACTCACTCCTCTGGAACACCGTAGAAAAGTTGGCGATCTGGCTCTATTTTATAGATATTTTCATGGACGATGCTCTTCTGAAATATCAACAATTGTTCCTTCCTTGGCAGTCCCCGCGAGATTAACATGTCAAGTTGAGGCTTCGCACCCCTTCGTGGTCACTTTAGAGACCTGCAGAACATCTCTTTCCAAAGACTCGTTCATCCAACGAACAGCGAGGCTCTGGGAGCACATTGTCAAGGAAGGTGTTCTCCGAGGCATATAACCTCCAGAAATTCAAGAAGAACACCAATTTCAACCTTATTTCCCTTGATTCTCACGATGCTCTCTGAACATTACAGGATATCCCTTTTCGTGGGAACCAGAACATAAAAAAAAGTAAATTGTGACTGAAATGGAACAAAATTCGAAATTGGATAATGAGAATAGCATCACTCGATTTCAATACAACAACAAAAATACGAAACAGTTATCAGGCTGATAACCAGAGGTTGTCCCAAAACTATTACTTTCGTTTTGTTTCATTTCTCAATATTTTTTTCATTTAATATTGTATATTTTTGTGATAACGTGAATTTCACGAATAGAAATATCTGAAAATGGAATGAGGATAGTCACCTGTCAATCAAGACATATATGATTTCATATTATTCGTCAAATATGAAATTTAAAACTATCCAATACAGCATAGGTAAGTAATACATGAATCGAATGAGTATTTTTTTTTCGTTTAAATATTTATAAAACATAGCTATAGGAAATGGAAGTCCACATCTAGTGTGGATAAATTATACAGGGCCAACGAAAACTTTTCAGCCCGATTTTGAGGCATTAAAATAAAAATCCGAAATAACCCTCGTACCCGTCAATTTCCGTTTGGAGGGAGAATGACTTGTCTGCTTTCTACGCTACTCTAATCATGCAAGCTCTATTTCAAGAACTTGATCTCTTCAAGATCATAAATATCTATGCCTACCATCAGTTTTTAATCGGGATGGTCAAAGGAGAGAAATATTTCCCTATCAATCATGAACGTTCCACCAGATTCACAGAAAACTTATCAGTACGTAGCCTTCAATTTCGAGTGAAAATTTTCATCGATAACGAAATGAGAGATGAAATAGTGAAAGGGGAAATTAGAGGGTCGGATAGTCCTGAATGAGATTTTCAAAATGAGGTATCGCAATACCCCTCATCCCTATTCAAAATCCAGAGATTGTGCCTTCCCTTGGTAGGGGGTTGAAGTTACGTGGTGGAAGAAAGCATTGCCCCTCAAATCGGAAATCGACGGGCTCAAGCGTTTTTCCTTATTCTCATTTCTAAGCCCTGAAATCGGGTTGTAAAGTTTTCTTCGGACCACCCTGTATATGTTCGTTCCATTTTACAATTGCAAAATAACGTACGTGAATATCAAAAAGCCCTGAATTCAATGTGATATTTTACTTTACGCAACTCCTGACGTGTAGTAAGACGTTTCATGACTCCTGTCAATTTAAAAAATTGTCAAATTACATATCAAAATTGGAAAAAATGTATACTTACGTGTTTTCTAATGGACAAAAGTACTGCTCGTACACGTGAAAATCGGTCAAAAGGGGCAGTACTTCTGGACAATCTTTAAGAAGGGTGCAGAATCCTGCTATAGCGGGACTCATTGGAGTTTTTGGGCAATCGGGGTTCACTAGGACAGTACTGTTTTCGCCTATGTCGTAGACTCCTACAATGAGAATTATACACAAATTTACATAGACAATCTTTTGTAAAAGTGCCTTAAGCAACATATACACTCAGTTCCAAAGAAAGTGACGCACTTGATATTTGACCTATCTTCTTGAAAAAAAAATAGTAGGCCGATTTTTTTTCTCAATTTGTTGGTGGGTAATGCATTTGTCATTAAAAAAAATAAAGAGATGAACATTTTTTCAAAGCCACCTTGATGGTGGTGGAATAACTCGAACCATGATTTATTCTTAATTTTTGACTCACCCTGTGTGTTAATTGAGTAATGGTATACAAAGTGCTCACACCCTATACGAAAGAGGCTTCTTTCGCGAGCATTTTGTTTTTATATTCATTGTTTTGAATTACAGCTTTTTTGCTAATACCTTAAGCTTATTCCACAAATTAAATTTATTGAAGGATCAAAGTACTCGGAATTGATTGAGTTGTACTCTGGTAGGATCACATTATCTTTAAAAACAAATGCCGTTGCCATAGCAACTAATTTGTTGTATGCCCCCATATTTGACCATTTGTCGTTGTCTCATTAATTGAGTGTCTTGTTTTATTGACTAAAATTACATAAAATGCCTCAAATAAATCCTGAAAAAGTAGCAAGATTATTTGCGTTAGTAAACGATGGGCGTAGTAAACGTTACGCCGCTCGTGCAGTGGGAGTTCATGAAGCAACTGCTCTCAGGGCAATCCGCAAGTACGAACAAACAGGAAGCACCGCTCGGAGGGTCGGTTCTGGTCGCCCCCGAAAAACTTCTCCAAGAGATGATCGCTTCTTGAGATTGCGGATTTTACGGAATCGATCAAATACTGCGATAAATGTTCAGCAAGATCTTCGCTAAATTCGTAATGTAGCAGTGAGTAAGCAGACGGTATGTAGACGTCTAAAAGAAGTTTAAAAGCTAGGAGACCTGTAAAAGGTCCCAAATTATTTCCCCAACATCGTGCTGCTAGAAGAAATTTTGTTGAAAATTATGGACAGTTGAATATTCCTGAATGGTCGAATGTCTTGTTAACGGATGAGGTTTTGCCTTAACATCAATCAATCAAAATTTAATAACAGAATGCGAACGTTTTAATGGTGGGTCCGTTATGGTGTGGGGAGGCATTTCAATGAATGGAAAGACAACCCTTCATGTTTTTCCGGTGAATCAGTCGATGAATGCCCAAATTTACATTGACATTTTAGAGCAGTATGTCTTACCTTGTGCAGAGTTAGTGGGCAATAATTTTATATTGATGCAGGATAATGCCCGACCACACAGCGCAGCAATAGTGCGAAACTTCTAAGAAGCTACTGGTATTACCACATTACAATGGCCTGCGAGAAGCCCCGATATGAATCCTATAGAATATTTGTGGGATGAATTAGGGAGAAGGGTACGATCTCGCGAGAGGTCTTCAGAAAGTCTCGCAGAAATGGCAGATGCCATCGTGGAAGAATAGGATCGTATACCAATGGAAACGATAAGCAACTTAATTTCCAGTATGCCTCGTAGATTAGAAGTTCTTAGAGTTGCTAGAGGAGGCAATACACGGTATTAAGCAGTCATCCCAATTTATAATTCTGTGTTTGATAAAAATTTTTTTTTAAATTATTGGTATCAGTTTATTTCATTAGAAATATAAATAAATTCAGAAAGTTGGTAATCTGCAAGGATTCAGCAAAAAAAGCTGTAATTCGGAAAATTTCAGAGATAAATCAATGAATGAAAAAACAAAATGCTCACAGAAGAAGCCTCTTTCGTATAGGGTGTAAGCACTTTCTATGGCATTACTCAATTAACACAGGGTGAGTCAAAAATTAAGAATAAATCATGGTTCGAGTTATTCCACCACCATCAAGGAGGCTGTGAAAAAATTTTCACCTCTTTATTTTTTTTTGACAGATGTATTTTCTACCAACGGATAAAAAAAATCGGCCCACTATTTTTTTTAAGAAGATAGGTCGAATATCAAGTGCGTCACTTTTTTTGGAACTGAGTGTATCTGATACGTCTTTGTATGTAGGGTGATCCATTTTGAAGGAATGAACCAAAGTTATACTCTATTCATGATGATATTGCAATCAACGATACATGGTGGGGTCGTCCTTCAATTGTTTTTTCAGACTGGTGAAACAATCCAATGCATAGAAGACGTAGTAGGTTTCTATAGTCTATAGCATTTTTTAACACATTGATAATGTGATCATGAGGAAATATTACGAAACTTTCATGCACACATTTTGGGAAATAGTTATTATCATTATCACTCTTGACAATAGCCAACTAATTTGTAAGCAACAAATACAATCCGTTCGAACATTAAAGTCAGAACACCAGACTAAGCTTTGCGAGATTTACACACGTAATGCATTTGTTTATTGGAGTAGGAGTTAATCAAGTGCGTCAGTTTTGCAGAACCAGTATGATTGACTGCAGAACCTGTATGATTGAAGTGATGAATACTGTGGTTCACTCCAGTGAAACCAATTCTGACTTATTGGTAGCGTGCACGATGACCGACCCTGGAAGTAAAATATCGAAACACAACCTCACTCTTCTGTGAAACATTGAAACACAACCTCACTTTTTTTATTTGTTTACAGAGGATTGAAATAGTTTTTCACCATTTTTTGGCATACGAATCGTGTTGTTTGCGATATTTATTAATTCAAGCATGCCTTCTCATTATGCTGTTGTACAATGCACAAAAAATGCAGTGAGAGACGAAGGAATATAATATTTCAGGTAAATAGTGATCTCACATAGTTTTCATTATGAAATTTTGTCATTTCTCAATAAAATTCCTTCTGCCACTTCTGTAATAGAAGCTAATACTGCTGATATATTGAAAATGTCTACAACACACACGATCATATTTCGTCAGCATGTCAGACCAGTCCTCCCGTATGACTGCATGAATCCAATCTTCTTGCATCATTTTAGAAATTTCACGAGTATTTCTATTAGCCAACCGGATTCCTTCGTCTCCCGTTGCATTTTTTTTGCATTGTACAACATCATAATGTGATGACATGCGCGAATTAATGAATAGCCGAAAAACACGATTCCTCTATGCCAAAATAATTGTGAAAAACTATGTCAACCACTTGTAAACAAATAAGAAAAGTGAGGTTGTGTTTCAATGTTTCACATCCAGGGTCGGTCATCTGACAGTTCTTGCACGCAATCCATATATCTGATTGCTGACAATATCACTTTGGTTGATGTGAAACTCCCAATGTGGAATATCACCTTACAAGATCACTTCAACAGCGGCGCCAATAGGTGTTTTTTCGCGAAGCCTTCTATGATACAAAAAGCTGACATTATCAAGTAGGTGAAGGTCTACAATGTTTTCTAGAGTCTTCTAAGAGAGAGCTGTTTCACCATCTGATATCCACCTTGACTGGTACCTACCTCCAGAAATAGCGAGTGAGTTGTTGCTATGTAAGATACTTGAGAGCCATGGCAAGCTACTCCTAATAGATGGTGAGAGAGTTGCGTTAGAGCGTGCATCTGTAGTTGTAGCAATCAGATCGAGATCAGGATATACAGGCTGTGGTTCTGGTTCCGAAACTGCAAAATGTCAACAACATGAGATACTCAAGAAGTGGGATAATAGTTATTTGTTATACTTGGCAGCAAAGAAGTAGATTGACTGGCGCGGCTGATAGTGCATAACCGAGCGTAGCAAGGCTAGGAATTCAGCTAAGGCAGTCAATCTAGTTTGCTACCATATGGAACATGTAATTTTTTCTCCAAATGTTATAAAACTAATTTTTTCGTCGATCTCTCCAAGAATCACGTTTTACGTTCTAATTTCCGAACGAAGGCAAGTACTTTTCATCTGAATTTTCAGTAGATCTCCTGATTCGCATATTGACTTACTGATCTACTGAATCATTTCATAACCTACTGAAAAATACTTTGACACATATATTATTATAATTACCTATATTATTATTGATCTTTAGTTGATCACATACACCTATAAATTGCATATTTCGGCACGCTCTGTTGAAATTAATTTCACAAAATAAGTGATTTATACATATATAGATACTAATGATATTATATATAACCAAAAGAAGAATAATACTTTATCTGATTCAGATCAAATTCAATTTTCTATATACAGGGTGTCCGCTAAAAGGAGGTCAATTCATTAACCATATATTCCTTGAACAAAAATAATATGAGTTTCTAAATATCATTTTTCATTTTAGCCCTCCATATTCGATATACAGGGTGTCAAAGTTGGAAATTAAAAACTGTTGTTTCCTAATTACTCGCGTATTTAATAAGATATTAATCTCAAAATTGGTACATTACTTCAGCACAAGGAGTTACATCGTGTGAGGAAAACAAAACAGAAAATAACTTTCAAATATTCAAAATACTGGAGGTCAAGTACACACTTAACCCATATTTTTTTTGTACGTGCGCTAATGACTTTGACACCCTGTATATCGAATATGAAAGGCTAAAATGAAAAATGGTATTTAGGAACTCTTATTGTTTTTGTTCAAGGAATATGTGGTTAATGGATTGACCTCCTTTTAGCGGACACCCTGTATATAACTCTGTTTCTAATGGGTAATGTTTCTATTTGTTTTGTATTTCTGCAGTTCATTTACTTGAATCTTATAAGTCCCTATGTAACTATATTTTGTGATATTTTTGAATATTTTGAAATTTAGATTTAGGATTATGATTGTTTTTTTATGATAATTGTTGTTTTATTTGTTCCGACTTTGTTAGAATAAATGAGTTACTCTTCTGTTTACTAAAAGTACATAATGCTTTGACGTCATAGGTTTATTTCATCATCCTTTTTTGTAATTCGAATAGCATAAAATATTTATCTGGATTTTTGACAAGTTATTTACTGATGAAATGGAAATCGAACTGCCAACCCTGGTCTGCGCGGAGAGTGAGTTGACAACAACTGTCAAAGTTTCATCACGATGTGGTTCAAATAGTAAAAGTTCGTAAAAGGGAAATTCCTATCTTCAAACTAGTTAGATAAGAGAAAACTGATATTAAGTATACCTGAGGTTCTATAAAGAAACAGTTTTTCTAATTCTTCATTTTTATGAAAATATTATCAGAGCTGATCCTCTTGGTTCTGATATTAGTCTTCGTAACATCTTGTTTGAAGAAGAGCTTTTTTAGGGAATAACAAGTTCTAATTTCAAATAATACTCTGAGTGATCGATCAAATTTAGAGTACTTACATCGAATTTGTATGGCATCATCTGATGATAAAACTGAAAATAAGAAAAACTATCTGATGAAGATGTACACAGGGTGTTTCAGAGTCGCGATGACGAAAGCCTAGGGAAGATTCCTCAACAAAATTTGAAAAAAAGTTATATATACAGTGTGACCCTTTTTTAATGAAATCACCCCTATATCATACGTAATCGTTGGGTGAGGATCCTGAAATTTGCTGGAGCGAGAGATATACCAAAAATGCACTCTATGATCAAGTGGGGTCATCTTCAGTGATATACACTGCTCGCCAACAGCCATGGAACCACACAAATTTCTGGAAAATCATATTAGGAGTCAAAATAGGTTGAGAATCACTTCGGATTCGGGATCAGGACGCCCAATTCACTAACTATTCATATTTTTCCTGGAAAGTTTTCGGTCCTGAAAAATTAAATTTCGTCGCATTTTTTACGGATTCACCCCCGTATCTTACGTAATTATTGAGGAAAGGTACTGAAATTTGCAGGAGGAAGGAAAATTCCAAAGATAAAGTCAATTACGTAAGATACGGGGGTGCTTCCCTATAAAGTGCGACAAAATTGGATTTTTCAGAACTGAACATTTTCCAGAAAAAATATGAATAATTAGTTAATTGGGCGTCCTGATTCCGGATCCGAAGTGATTTTCAACCTATTTTGACTCCTAATATCATTTTCCGGAAAGTGGGGTGGTTCCATGGCTGTTGGCGAGCAGTGTATATCACTGAAGATGACCCCAGTTAGTCATAAAGTGCAATTTTGGTATATCTCTCGCTCCAGCAAATTTGAGGATCCTCACCCAACGATTACGTAAGATACAGGGGTGTTTCCATTGGAAGTGGGTCACACTGTATACAGTCTGTCCAAGATAAGGTTGAACAGCATGGGGATCTCGAAAACGGTAAGAGATACGAAATCGGTTAAATGGGGAAAAAGTTGCGCATTCGGAGGCTCATATCAAGAGCCTTCGAAAATTTTTAAAATTATTTTTAGTTTTTGAGTTATATCGAAAAAAGTGAATTTTTGGAATTTCTATTTTATTTTTTTTCTCCGTTATTATTAGAGATACAGCAAAACTGAGGGTACTTGTTTTCAGCAACTTTTGATGACGGTCAACGTGGTGATACCGATTTTTTCATGCGACGTTTCGTATTTGTGGAACCATCATCAACTTTTGTTTTTTAAATACGGTCCTGATAATTTTTTCACAGATTCTAAAAGGTTTTTTTATTCTGAATTCAACCATGTATCATACAAGGTGGTTCATTTGTGTTTCGACCTATTTTTGGCCATCATCAATGTTTTTTCGAAACTCCAAAGGAAAAATGCCATCAGTTCCACTTATTTTGAAGGAAAATTAGTCAACACACTGATACCTCATCAACTGGTTTCAATCAACAACCCATTTCATTTTGCGGAACCGAAAATTCCATCCATACAAATTCAGAATATGTCAAGCGCTAAAACAAGGCGATGACGAAAGGCGCAAGACATTCTGTGAGTGGTATACCAGGAAATGTTAAAAGTTTGCAGATTTCTTTCGAACAATCATCTGGACTGATGAAAGCATGGTCACTAATCATGGTAGCTTCGATAGAAAAAATACACATTATTGTTCACGAGAAAATGAACATTTATACATTACAGCGAGACACCAACACCGTTTCGGCTTTAATATGTGGGTTGCAATATTTGGTACACGAATTATTGTTCCTTCTATTTACCATGAAACACAGACTTCCGAACGTTATAGAAATCCGCTTGAGAATCATCTTGAGGAAGCTCTGGATGATTTACCGATTGCGGAAGTTCAGAACTCTGTTGGTTTCAACAAGATGGCGCTCCGGTACATAATTCCAGAGAAGTCCGTGCGTTTTTATCCCTTGGCCGGCGCGGTCGCCTGATTTGACACAGCTGGATTTTTTCTTAGGGGATATATCGAACTTTGTACACGCAAATAACTTTGAGGATGAAGAAGAACTAAGGGACAGTGTCTTCGAAGCATTCAATAGAATAACCTCAGAAATGCTTAGCAATGTCTTAGAAACAACTGTGAGAAGAGGATATCTTTGTTCAGAAAATAATGGTTATCATTTTGAACATTTGTTATGAATGTCTCTGTAAGTATTGTCATTGTCATTTGGGGCCAAGCCAAAGACAAGAATCTCACTGAGCTTAGGTAAATACGCGACGGTGTTTCAGGCAGAAATTATTGCAATACATCATTGCGTGAAAGAATTGATAAGGCAAGAGTTTAAAGGCAAAACCATTGCAATCTATTCAGATAGCCAGGCGGCAATCAAAGCAGTCAACTCTATGCAAGTTAACTCAAAACTAGTATGGGACTGCTTAGAAACCCTAAATGCACTGGGCAGTCAGAACAGACTGACTCTAGCATGGGTACCAGCACATACAGGGTACGAGGGCAATGAAGAGGCAGACTCACTTGCCCGAGCAGGAGCAAACAAAGCTCTGAATGGCCCAGAACCCTTCTGTGGTATTGCGATAGCTATACAAAAGACTAGTATCAAATCATGGATGCAAACCAAATCTCAAGAATGGTGGAACAAATCGCCAGGAATGAGACAGGCAAAAGAGTTTATTAAAAAACCATCGCCAACATTCACAGAATATCTACTAAGCCAGAAACGAAGTTCAACTAGAATACTAGTGGGACTTCTCACAGGGCATTGTAGGCTCAACAAACACATGAGTACGATAGGTCTGACTGAAGAACTGCTGTGCAGGTTCTGTCAGGAAGAGGAGGAAACAGCAGTACACATACTTTGCCACTGTGAGGGCTTGTCAAGACTAAGGTTCCTTACGCTGGGTGAGGAAAAACCAGAAGCCCAGAGATACACAGGGGATCTGAAAGCTAGCCTATGGAGTCTCATAGAGAAGACGGGGCTAGCCGAAGAACTCTAATCGATTTTGAGGGCAGACACAATAGATCTGAAAAGGTCGCGGTGCGGAGGCAGATAGCCCGAAGGCTCCATTCTAAATCTAATCTAAAGTATTGTCAAAGTTAAGTTGTTAAAGTAATTCGTGTAAGAATTCATCAACAATTTTAAACGCTGCATTGATCGAATGATGTAGTGAAATATGTTTTATTCACTTTTCAGTATTGAATAACTAATCCATCAAGTTTGACACTAAATGATAAGAAATAAGTGGAACTGATGGCTTTTTTTCTTTTGGAAGTTCGAAAAAACATTGATGATGGATAGAAATCGGTCGAAACACATTCGAATCACCTTGTGTAGTAAATTGTTGAATTCAGAATAAAAAAACCTTTCAGAATCTGTGAAAAAATCATCAGGACCGTATTTAAAAAACAAAAGTTGATGATGGTCCCACGAATACGAAACGTCGCATGAAAAAATCGGTATCACCACGTTAAACCTCATCAAAAGTTGCAATGAAAAAGTATTTTCAGTTTTTCTGTATCTCTGATAATAACGGAGAAAAAAAATAAAATAGAAATTCCAAAAATTCACTTTTTTCGATATTACTCAAAAACTAAAAATAATTTTCAAAATTTTCGAAGACTCTTGATATGAGCCTCCGAATGCGCAACTTTTTCCCCATTTAAGAGACTTCTTATCTCCTACCGTTTCCGAGATCCCCATGCTGTTCAACCTTATCTTGGACAGACTGTATATGTATAAACCAAAAAAGGACAATACTTCATCTGGTTCAGATCAAATGATTTTTTTGTTTGTTTTGTATTTTTGTTGTGATTTTTCATTATATCATTGATCAGATATATCTTCCCAGAAAACCTGTGTCATGAACATAGACTACAGAAGAACTATTTGTTCATAGATATCCTATCGAATACTCAACTATTCAAAGTGATGATAGTAAAAGACACGAATATATACCTATATTTATATATCTAAGCCCAGCACTATCATTGTTCCAAGTTGGATATGATTCAACAACTTTCTATAGATTATTCCCCTTATTTCAAAATACTTGTTTTTGATTGATTGAAATATCAGTCGAAAATATTATGTTTTCGATTTTAATGTACCAAAAGTCCATGACCAAAAGTGAAATAACGGCTTTCATCAATGTAATGAAAGATTTTCCAAGAAAATGCTATAATTCATATAAATAAACCTAATTAATTATATCCATGAATGATGAAATTATGTTAGTGGTCTCAATGAGAAGTGTATTGTGCCAATGTACAAAATGTTGATTAATGGCCTTTGCTTTTTTAGGATATTGCAATTGAATATATCAATCATTGTATCGATGAAAACTGACATAGGTTAATGAATCGAATGATCGATTATTGAGAATATTAGAATCCTTCATGCACAGGGTGAGTAAGTTCTTTGTGGCAGAACTTAACAGCTCATGAGATGAAAATCTCATGTAGATAAATTAATAAGCTCCATATATTAATTTCTGATTACTAGCACACTTCGTTTGATATCTCTTACTAATAGACTATAGGAGACTATGAATGAAAGTGTTCATAAAGGTTTGTTGATTAGAATCAATATGAAACACAAAAAAATATATAAAACTCTGATACCGCCTTGAATATCTTGAAAGATTGTCTTCTTCAAGCTGTTGAAGTCCTGCTACAAAAAACTGACTCACCCTGTATATTTTTTTTTGACGACAACTCAATGCCTGACGACATGGTTCTTACGAAATGACGTTGAATATTCTTATTACCTGGTGATTGCAGATATAAAGGATGTCCTCTAAAAGTGGCAGGAGTAGAAACTGAAAAAATATAAGGAATATCGTACATTTTAGGCCTGTTCGTTTGTATTGCTGAACTTGCTAGAGTTGATTTTTCTCTCATAGTTATCTCTGTTCATGACATGATGTAAACAGTTGAAGTCATAGAAAAAAATCAAGTTCAGCAGGTATAGCAAGCACAAACGAACAGGCCTATAAGAATGCTCAAAACATCGTTTTCAAATCTGACAAATGCCACTGTCACTCACTCGCTTATTGAGTATTTTATTCATTGTTTTGATTTTGTTTCAAAAGACATGTGATTCAGCGAGGTATATGTGGATGACATTAGTCGCAACTTGATTTATTGATACTTACTTATGAAAGGTCCAGGATTTGCCAATTGCTGCGAACCTATGAAAAAGAGCCAGCTCAGTAAAATCATGATATCTACTTATATTTTATAGGTAGGTAACAGTATTGTTTTTATGAAGTTCAATTCATGTACCATATTATGGATTTGAGAGGAAGAAAACACATCGAAAGAAGAGGTTATTTACCAGATGCATCTTCAGTATCAACTGTCCTGGTTTCATTGGGTTTGACCACAACCAATGAGCTAACCTCGGTAACGAACGAGTATTTCAGAGCCAAATCTAGGATTTTCTTGGTCAATTCAGTCTTATTCTCTGCAGCTTCTCTTTCCTGCAAATCCTGTTTCACTGTCAAGTAGGCCCACAGACGTTCTAATGAGGTGATAGGAGCTTCTATACTTGGGGACAGGACCACGGTACCATTGGAACCACTAGCGTGAATTGAGGTTTGAAGAGTCGACCCTTGAATAACAAAAGGTAGTTTTCAATAATATTGATCTGACTATACTGATATTCGAATTGTGAAGAAAAAACAAGTTAGAGGAACTCATGCGTGTCTCGCTCCACTCCTTTAGAACATCGGAAGGGCCATTCATAAATTTGATAAGAAATTTCTGTTCTCACCAACTTCTACGTTTTGTAGTAGTTTTTATTGAAACATCATGCTTCTTATTGACCAATTGACGTATACAAAAAATAAAAAATTCAGGTTTCGTATCAAGAGTTCACTCTCTATTTGGTTTCTGTAGACTGTGACATTCGTTTTTCTTCAAATTCCTTGTCTTCCTATATTTTCCGAAGTGAGAGAGGGAAGAAAGAAATATAGAAACGGAGCAGGGACCATAAGTTCAATTTTAAACTGGAACATCAACAATTTTTTCGATCAACTTATAGTTAACATTGATAATTTGCAGTTGCAGTAAACTTAAGTGGGTTCCAATTATTTATATGATTGAAAAAATCTAATCCAGTGGTTATCATTACACAAAGTTCGTGTAGATCTACAAAAATAATCGAAATACCGTCACAAATAATTTTTCAGTGAATAGTTACTCAATGGTTTAATCTCATCCCACGGGATGAAAGAACGTATTACCCCTTGTAGGAGGTGAAATATATTGGCACCACCATGTTTTCTTGACTGAATCACTAGTATTAAAGAACAAATTACAATTTCCGTGTTGAATTTCAATGTTCTTATACTTTACCTCATATTCAAAACATACTCAATCAGAACTTTCGAATGCCATTTTACTCATCATCACTATTTTGTTTCTATGCTATATCAACGAACTGGATAGTCTCACCAATAATTCGCATTATGTAATTTATGCTGATGATACTAACTACTATACTCATATCAGACAAAAATGACGATAATCTATCGGAACACTGCCACAACGTTATGGATACAGTGATCTCTTAGTGTAGTGTTAACTCACTTCTCTTTAATGTAGAAAAAACTAACGTAATGAGATTTCATCATCGGCAAAAATGTTGCTCAAATATGGATATATCTGTGCATGGTGATCTGCTGGGAAATGTTGATGAGTTAACATTCCTAGGAATCGGCATAGATGAATGTTCAACATGGAAATACCATTGCAACAAATTGATAAAGAAACTAAATTCTCTCTGTTATATGTTTCGGAGTCCAAAAACAATACTTATTCCTCACGAATCCGTTATGGTATAAGTTTTTGGGGTAACTCTACTCTATCACTGGATGTTTTTATTGTACAGAGAAGAATTATAAGAATAATAGAAGGCATACCTAGTCAACAATCTTGCCGAAATATTTTGAATAGCCTTAACATTTCAACTGTCATCGGTGTTTTTGTATTTGAATTATGTGTAAATGTATTTTTGAAAAGGAAAAATTCATTACTAATAGGAATATACATGGTATGAGTACAAGACAATGTGACAATTATCTCATTCCAATGTGTAAATATGAGATTACACGTAACTCTCCCAATTACCTTGGACTCAAAGTTTTCAATAAACTTCCCAGTCAATTGAAAAACTTCCAAAAACTCAGTAATTTCAAAACGAACTTGAAGCAATTCCTACTGGAAATGAATCCCTATACTTTAAAAGAATAATTCTTGGCAGCCTAGTCTTACTGTTTCTGTCTCTGTAATATCGAAATATTATCGTTTTATCTTATGTCTCTGTCTCAAACTGTCTAGTTTTAAGCATTCAATCTGACGATTCCTATACATGTAAAAATGTCCAATGGAAAATAAACGTATTGTATTGTATGATGTATTCTTAGAACTTCTGTTTTCTTGGTGTTGAAAAACAAACTAAATTCAAACTGATGTTTGTTCAATTTCAAACACTGTCAATTGTTCATGAAATACTAAACCTTTGTATGTATATCGATTTATATCGAGAGATTGACTGCCTGAAGCATATTTCAACCATGACGCTGTCAAATCTATATGTTCGTGGAAAAAATATTAAATCATAGTGGGAGGCAAATTCATTTCTTCGAGAATATGCGACTGTAGAAACAAATCCTGGAACAGATCGACTAATATTTCCAATTTGCCACATCTTGAAGACAAAAATGAATATACAGGGTAATCAATGTTTGAGTTATGACGTCCGCGACAATTTTTCCTAACGGAACACCCAATATATCATATCATTTCCTTCCATCAAACTTCACACGCGTGAGAAAATGGATACCTTATAGCTCCCTCAATATTATAAATAGTTATTACATACCACTATAACATCCACTAACAACTATCTCAGAACCTCTGAAAAATATCGGAAAATCCCTTTTCGTCACAGCCTTCACTTCTGAATCATACTTGAAGTTGACGTTCGATAATAACGGGGATGAAATCTGTCTGTAGAAGTCTTGCAATTGTAAAGAAGCATCCGAAGCTTCATAGATGTGTCTGGAGAGTCCTAAATTCTTCAAGGACAATTTTCTCAAGAAACTCCTATCAGCTCCACTGCCAAAAGACAGGGAAAATATTGGGATCTGATTATCTCCTGAATTCAGTCCTGTGATCTGTAATAATTATGAATGAATGTTTCAATATTGGAAGTATCTGTGGGTATATTTTCTGTGGTAATATCACAAGGTATGGTGAGAGTTTGTAAAAGATAGGTACGGTGTGAATCCAAGGAAATTGGGAATCTTGTGTCTTCTGAATTTTCAAGAGTAGGAAGGGATAGTGCATTGTATAATCTTAAGGGGGTTGAACCTAACCTAACCTAACCTGACCAATCATGATTTGAAGGAATTTCACCCTGGGAAAAGGTGAATAAGTTATTGAACTAATCCTGGAGAATTATTTTCTCACCAGCATGTTAACATGCTCTCGTCTTTCATATTTTTTTCTAGATTGAACTGTACACATTTTCCTATAGCGTGAACTTCCGCCTGGAATATACTTGGGAATTTGCCAAGGCTTTCAAAGTACTGTCTGGCCAATATAAACATTAATTATTAATATTATCATTATCATTAATATCAATGAATATTTCAATGATTCAATTGCTTAATGTGTTGTCCCATTACTATTCAGTAAACACTGCACGATCCTTCTTTCACTTTCTTCAGTTGACGATTTTCTTATTAAATCTCAACTTCAGAAGATTTTATTGTATGTTTTCAATATTAATGTGAGGCAATGTTCGTCGTGGCATATAGCCAGGAAAATATTTGTTTTCTGTTGGATATACCGAGAAGAAATTAATATTTTTATCAGATCGAGAATGCGAATTCTTTATGAATTTCTTTGAATGTATCCTTTTTTTCTCATGTTCATACTTTATCTAAACATAGAAATTTCTATCGAACGATTTAGGTAATGAACCTTGTATCTTATAGATAATGGTACAGAGGCGCAACCAAGGAGGGGGGGAACTAGGAAACAGTGCCCCCCTTCCTCCCTCCAGTGCAATCGATATTGTTCCATTTTCCGTCACACTGACTACCTTTCAAGAAAAATGTATTCATTCGTTCATCTTCATCATGAGGTAAACGTGAATATGAATTAGTCTTGTCCAAAAAGCTCACAATTCACAATGTATTGTTTCCTTTGTCTCGCTCAGTCGTTTATAGTGATTATCTTCCAGAATTGAAGGTAGATAAGTCATAACAGAATGATTTTCAATTCCCATCACCATTTTAATTAGTAGTTACGTTAGTTGCTTTCAGACTGACTAGTTGTTACAATGAGTGAACAGCAATGAAAGGCAAATATACGATATTCAATTTTTCTGAATAGAAAAAGCCTCTATCAGGAAATGCCTCAACTTCAGATGATGATTTTCTATCTTACCATAGATCTTAATACTATCTATGATCTCACGACGGTTTAAAAACCATCTAAGAAATTCGACTGGAGACGAAATGTTAAATGTGCTAGCCAATTTAAATATCCACAGAGAACTCAATGTTGACTCTATAAAGAGTTCCTCTCATTTCTTGAACAAAGAATAGATTTCGTTCTGTAAAGTGTATGGTCTAAATCAATTTTTAAGATGATTTCATAATTTCCATCTGAAATGGATTGTTATTCTACTCCTCATTTTTGGTATCCTTGACAGTATCGTGATATCACTATAAGAATCAATATTTATTTAGTTTTAATTATTTTTCCATTCTGTATTGTGACCTATGTCTGCTTTTTGTCCTGAAATCGTTAATAATTCAACATGAAAATGAATAATAGTATATTTTTCACTTATTCATGGTTTCTATCAAGACGCATTGAAATTTTTATGCCCACCTCCCTCCTAGAAAGTGATCGTGGTTCTGCCAATGTTATATAGGATGAAGTAGTGTGTTAATGAGCGATTTTTGTTTGATTACATTGTGAATACCTATTCGTCAATCAGTTTCAAAACTTACAATTCTGGTTATTTGATCAGTAGACGATTCTCCTTCATTTGGGTAACCGTCCGTCAAGAAAATGATCATTGGTTGGTAGTGTCCTCCTCCTGTACTGTTTTGCCTCTGCGTTCTAATCAAATGTAATCCAGTTTCCAAACCACCAATTATATTTGTTATTCCTCCTGTTTGCATTTTTCCAATTACATTTTTTGCCTTAACGATTGTGGCATTCATCACATTTACTGCAGAAGGAAGATTATTCTTAAGCTGTGAACAAAAATATCAAATATATTATTTCGATAACTGCAGCTTTTATGGCATCAGAGGATGATCTTCAAGAGTTTCAAATGTGATAGCAATACGATTTAAAAGCTACAAACTACAAGATCATCAATGATCATAAGAATATACTCACGATCAGTTCTTCGAATGGTTCCTGGTAATTACTGATATTGACAAAGAGACTATCTTCGCTATCAATATTCCACACAAACGCAAAAGTGTTGAACTCCACGATGTGGAAAATATCTTCATGACTCAGCTGATCGAGAATGCTATTCATGGCATCTTTCAATTGTTCGATTTTTATTCCAGACATACTACCACTGGTATCCAAAACGAATACGGCATGTTTTGGAAGTGGTTTCAAGTCTTCAGGTGCGAAAAAGTGAACAAAATAACCATCTTGTAGGAGAACCTGGAAAAAAAGAAAGAGATAAATAGAACTACACCATATCTGCTTGGGTTCAAACTTGAACGATAGAAACTTGATATTTCAATCACAGATTCGTGATTAAGTTTTCCCAATTCAGAATGTCTTTCCATGACCTGTATGATGAATATCAATTTGTCATACATCCAAAAACAATGATATCAAGTTTTAAACAGATAATCAAACAGATAATGGAGGTATATCGACCTATGTGAACATTATTCTAAAATTTAGAATGTTTTGTGAATATGTGAATTTTCAAAGAGGAACAGCAATAGGACTTACCTCTCCTCCTCTCGGGTCCCTTTCTACATCATACTGTACAATGAACTGTCCTGCTAGTCCTTCATTTTCTTTCATACCTAAATCAATTCCAAACTGCTTTTGCTGGTCAGGAGTCGGAATGAACCTCACAATAGCGCTGGTGGAATTGATAATTTCGATATCGGAAGATGGGTCCAATTTGTCATCGTTTTTGCTAATCTCGTTGCCAGATCTCAAAACCGGGGTTTTCACGAATCTGAGAGGGCGACTTTCATTCACAAGAACCTAGATTGGAGAAAAAATAACAGACTTCCATTGTTTTTTTCAGTTGCGCAATAGTTTGTAGGTTTATGTTGTCATGATGTCATTTTCATCAATTATATTTGTATGAATTGAATCCCTCTTATTTCTCAAACATACGTTTATGCAAGATTGAAAAAATGTACATCCATACTCAGAAAAATGCATTATACTTGAATGTATCACCAAAATAGGTATAGCTTTATTTCGTATATTCACCTGAATGTTCAAGTTTTTGACAATTTGTCCAGGATGGATATTCAAAACTAGTTCGTATTGGTTATCTCTCCTTTCTAGAAGTTCTTCGTATGTCAGCAAGAATGCTGCCTTAGATTCTGGTTCTATATTGACAGACACTGTGAATCTGTTGGAATCTCTTGCGTTCACTTCTACGTGTCCTGCACTTTGTCCGCTAGCAACAGCCTGAAATTAATTGATTGATGCAGATACCTACCTACATGGACATTTTATATTTCGTATTTTCTTTCTATATATATTTTTTCACATCTCACATTGTGATCATAAATTATCTATTCCGGTTCTCTGGGCGCCAACTAGCTCAGTCGTTCAGCTAATAATTGAAACTGTTTTTTGGAATTAACTTTATTTCCACTATGAAACAGGAGAAGTCGTGGTGGCGTCAACCCTAATGATCTCTGACTCTCGCTCTCCCATTGCCTGGCAACAGTCTTTGTACAGTTCTACTATCTTTTCAGAATGATTATAAAGGATGTTATTTCAAACACAACTATTTACAAAATCAAGTCTGCATATGAACCATTCAATCCTATAGCACTTTCTACAACACTTCCCCCCTGAGAAAAAGACGCCGCCACATAGGAAAAATACAAAGAAATTATGAATATACAAATTTGAAGATACGAACGTGGATCTTAAAATACCATCATACACTGAATATTTTTCGAATAATAAAAAAAACAAAGGAAACGTGTTCAATCACAGCAGTCACAAGGCTGATGTTTTCTTCGAGCTCTGGGTTGCCTAGTAGTTCGATTGACGAAAATTCTAGTCCTTATTGGCTTGTTCGATGAACTATTCTCTTGCCGATGAGCATCTCCTGGACCACAACAGGAGCACGGAAGTCTTGGTCTTCTCAGGCGGGGTCGTCTTCGCAACGGCAATGAATTCACGGGTGGACTTGATCGAGTTCCACATGACTGGTTTGCATGTGAACTGGAATCTGGTACTGATTCTTCAGCATGAGTTGAATTGGACTCTGATACTACCAAAGATGGGATTCCATTATCCGTATGGGCTGGCAGATCAGAGAGGTGTTCATCTGAATGAATATTAACTGGTTCTTCCAACATATCTTCATCCTCACTGAATCTTGACACAAGATTCGATTCGGAGCTATCCAGCTGCCAATGACCATCCACAATGGAAAGTTGTCCTGGCAGATTAATTGTCGCTCTTGACAAGGGCTGCTCAGGACTTGATGGGATAGAAGAGTTCTCTGAAACCGAAGTGTCTGATAATTGTGGAGGCCGGGGAGAATGGATTACTTCCAATTCTGAACCGTCGCTCTCCAAGTCAATTTCTGTCGAAAGTTGTGGACGATGTACATTTCCTAATGGGGCTGGTCGGAGATCATCAACATGGACAGTTATCACCCTGTCCTCTCTTTCTACATCATATGTCACAGCTCCTTTGCAACCTACGATTTTGTGAGGTCCAGACCATGCAGGAGCAAATGCATGTCTTTGCTGTCGATTATCTCGTACATTTACTAAGTTTCCAATTTCGAATTGAACTGGAACTGGTTGATCAGGTGGAGCATATTTACTCTGATACTTCACTTGATGATCGTAAATTCGGGAATTTCTGGTAGTTCTTCCTTCCGGAGATACATTTGGTCGAAGGGATTCGGGTAGATTCCAGTCCCCTGGTACAGGTAGTTCATACCCAAATAGAGCCATACTTGGGGTCATATTAGTAGCTGCATTTTTCCTCGTTCTTAATACAAATAATGCTTTGGATAATTCTTTTTGCCAGTTACTTCTAGGTTGGTTGATTACTAATGTTTTGATGACTTTTTTTAATTCCTGATTCCTGCGCTCCACGGGATTAGCTCTTGCATGATATACAGGAGTAAAGAATAAATGGATTCCATGATGTTCTGCCATCTCAAGAAAAAGTTCACTGATAAACTGCGGCCCGTTGTCGGATATGATAGTTTCTGGAATGCCATATCTGCTGAAAATCTCATTTTCCAAATACCTGATGATATGATTATTTGTGACATTGTGGTATGATCGAGCTTCGACCCAGCGTGAAAAAATGTCTTCCACTACTAGGATGTATTTATGCCCATTAGTAGAAGGTGGGTATGGTCCGAGAATATCTATACTGAGTATTTGCCATGGTTTAGTTGGAATATGTGGACGAAGTGGAGCATGCCTCTGTCTTTTAGTTTTCACGGCAGCACATACAGAACAATTTTTAATATAATCCTCTACAGATTTTTGTAAAAATTTCCAATAATATTTTTGTTGGATCGTTCTCATAGTCTCATCACGACCTGGATGTTGTGCTTGGTCATGATGAAAATTTATAGCATCCGCAATTTTGTTCCTAGGAACTACCAATTTATTCTGACTTGGACATTTTTTCCATAATAATCCATCTTGAACAATGAAGATAAGATGAAAATTTCTGTCCTTATTGGAAGTAGGGCCTTGTTGGTCAATATTAAGCCACTTACTTATTTCCAATCTAATTTCAGCTGACTTTTTCTGTTCTTCGACAATCTGTGTATATAAATCGAAACTAGTATATACTTGATTAACAGATGCTAAAGCAGTCTGATCTGAGACATTTGATTCTGTTGGAATGAATAAACGTTCCTCCAAATCAGTACTCAGATTATGAGGTTCTTTGGCAGTGCGAGACAAGAAATCTGGTAGTTCATTTATTTTACCAGGAATATGTTCTATAATGAAATTAAATTCTTGTAATAGTAGAGACCAACGGGTAAGTTTTGTTTTCACATCTCGATTCTTATGTAACCACACCAACGCTCGATTATCTGTTCGCAAAATAAAAGCTTTATCCTGTAAATAATGTCGGTAACGTTTAATACCCCAAACTATACTCAAACATTCTTTCTCATTAACATGATAATGTGACTCAGTTTTGGAAAAAGTTGCACTAGCATAAGATATTATAAATTTAACTGAATCAGGTCCCTCTTGATTTTCTCCATATAATTTGGAAGTTGCTTGAGCTAACACTTGACTAGAGTTGTATCTATTCAGAAACCTATCAGCAAAATTGTTGAAACTCAAATCCAAATATCTAAAAGGCTCAGCCCATTTCTCTGCATCTCCCCGCAGTCTTCCAATGACAAAAGGAATTTTATAATGATTTTCATAAATATTATTTTGCTCAAAATAATGATTCACTAGTTTCAGGAACTTGGATGGATCTTCATAGTCATATCCATGAAACTCATATGGCAAAATTGAAACACGGTTTTGGCGCTGGCAGTTATCTGTAACAGTGCTAATTGCCTGAAGAAATGTTTCAGAAATCGCTTTGATTGTTCCATCTAACAGTGTAATTTGTTTATTGTCATTCAGTTTGGAGGACATGGAACTAATTGATGGTTCTGAGACATAGTTTACCTGATTATCTTGCATATTTTGATTGATCTGAGTGGTATAAGGTGTGCTACATTTAGCTGCATAACAGTCTTTGAATGGGTTGGTTTCGGATAGACTTGTGTTAGACGTTGGTCGTGGGTCGCAACATCGCTCTAGATGTTTTTCACTGATGTCCTTATTGGAAGGAACTGTTCTAGGCAGAGATCCCACCAAAAGTCTTCGTTCTGGCGTGAAATGGTTCCAGCTTCGATTTTCCATGATGTCACCTTGATTGACGGATGTCACCAATATCTATGCCGAACTATTCACCAGTTTTGGGCCCCACGTTTCGGGCCGCCATGATCATAAATTATCTATTCCGGTTCTCTGGGCGCCAACTAGCTCAGTCGTTCAGCTAATAATTGAAACTGTTTTTTGGAATTAACTTTATTTCCACTATGAAACAGGAGAAGTCGTGGTGGCGTCAACCCTAATGATCTCTGACTCTCGCTCTCCCATTGCCTGGCAACAGTCTTTGTACAGTTCTACTATCTTTTTAGAATGATTATAAAGGATGTTATTTCAAACACAACTATTTACAAAATCAAGTCTGCATATGAACCATTCAATCCTATAGCACTTTCTACAACAATTGTTATGAAACTATAATGTTTTGATGAACAATAGATTATTGATTGGTTGATTGATTGATCGATTGATAGATACCAACCTACATGGTGTTTCAAAATTCAGTGTCAAAATCTCAGTGGCTCAATGTTCAGGTCAAAATACGACATGTGTTTGCAAACGTTTCGTTTCCCTCAGGGGCTCACAACTTGTGAGTACAGGAATGGTGAACCCGAGGTACCCTAGCCGGATATCCACCTCACTCCAACTTAGATTGGGTGATTCTTCAATCTATCTTATCGGCCTTCCTTGACCAACTTCTCTTCTCCTCTTCCCCACAAAACCCAACCTCGCCATCAAGTTGTGTGGGAAACATGGGAAATAGGGCGACATCTCAGGGTGAACAGCCTTAGCCCACAAGGCTGGACCAACCCTTTTCCCCGTAACTCGTAAAGAAAGACTTTTGGCCTTCTCCGTAGACGAGAACAGGGATCGAAAGAGTAAACTTCAAGAACCTGATCGAAAAGGGCCATTCATATTGAAGTGGCTCGTAACAAGCACCATGAGTCGGATATGGTAAAATTGATAGTGGCAAGTAGGTGAGATAGGCCACTAAGCCTAAGGGTCGTTGGAGACATCGGTCCGACGAGCCTGCAAACGGGGTGGAGTGTTTAGTGGATATACCCTGAAGACAGGGGACTCCCACACTATCAAATGGGGGATTAGACCCACCTCGACAAAAAAGAGTTTCTTTACTGATCTGAATTTTGAAACACCCTGTATATCGAAGATTACACTCGAGAGCGAGCATTTTATTCGATGTGTGAAACCAAGTTTCCTGAAAGATGGGAACCAATCATAGCGGTGTACCTAGCATTGGATTCGACAGCTACCAACCGACATAACCTACAACTCACACACAAGTTGGCCTCAGGATCAGCTTCGTGAGTATTGCGTTCATCTATCGGATGTACCTACATATCTTATTAGGTTAAAGTTGATGTTACTGCTTGATTAATATCAAATTGTATCCATTCAATGCATGAACTATTCATACATCGAGTCCCTAAAAACTTGACACATAACTTTTTCTCAAACCAAAACAATTAGATTGAAGCAAATTCGCCTCTGTATAGAGTTGATTAGTTTGGGCGCTTCGTGGCTCTGAAGTTACAATTTTTAAATCGTTTTTGCTTCATGACTTTGAAACGGCTCATGAGACCCTATATTAAAATTTGCTAGGTTGACATTATTTTATAATTGGACAATAAAACCCATATCATGATTATGATGAATATCATTCCAACTAAAACTTTTACGTCAATGGAAAGAAATGGGTTAGTATATGAAATTTGAATTGCGTAACTTGTTCAATACAATCACACAATCCTGATGAATTTCGATTACTCTCATGGTTTCGACAAAATTTGAATTTTAGTAATTGAAAGCATCAGCTAACATCAAAACGATCAACAGATGATATGTCATGAGAATTGTTCAGAATATTAATCATCTTCACGTATACAAAGATCTTCTAGACAAAAACAAAATGGATACCAGCATACACACCTCAGTGCAAAGTTGCTCTTCTGGGTGCTAGAGACGGCTCTAGCTTACTACTTACTTCGTGGTATAAATTCTTGTATAAGTGAAAATGATGGGGATTTTGAGAAATTTTTATGGACTATCTGTTAATCGTTGCAATGTTAACTGGAACCCTAATTCACTATAATTTTAACTAGGTAGAAACCATGAGAGTAATCGAATTTTATCAAGTAGTAAAGTTTGTAGAAAACAAATAAGGTACGCAATCCAAATTCCGTATTCAAACCCCTTTCTTTCCATTGGCGTAGAAGTTTTAGATGATCATGTACTGAAAAAATCAAGTTCTTTACTCAAAAAATGATATCCGTCATAATCATGGAATATATCGTCCAATAAAGCCATGCCAAAACGTACCAAATTCGAGTAGAATATTATGAGCCGTTTCAAAGATATGAAGCCAAACCATTTGAAAATTTTGACTTCAGAGCCGTCTAGCGCCCAAACTAAGCAACTTTGAACTGAAGTGAGTTTGAGTCATCGTTTTATTTCGGCCTGAGGAATATACAGTGTGTTTCAATTTGGGCCACCTCACCCCTGTACTTTGGTATTCCTAGGGCTAATTTCAATGTCACAAAATCGTTGGGCCAACATTCCCATTCCTATACTTTGCAAAAGACAAACTATTGTAGAATCTCTCATGAAAACTTGATATGAAAAAAAATATTTACATCAACGCACTGCTGTATAGAATATGTGTGTTAGTAAAAATAATTATTCACCTTGTCATAAATATTTTTAGCTTCTTCCTTCTCCTTCACGTATGCCTTGTAGCTTTTTCCACCAATTTCCATGACAAATTCAGAAATAAACGCTTTTTCTGGTAAAACCACTGTGAACGTTGCTTCCTTAGCTGTGTTGTCTGCATTTTTGACTTTACTCATAACAAGAGTCTTGGCAAAACGGTTCGAAATATTCGATTGGATATCCATAGCGTAAATGGCAGGATTGATGATAGGTACAACATCTGAAGTTCCCTTAAAAATACAAAGAAAAAACTTCAATTTGCAATGAAGTCTAGGTTTGGAAACTATATAGTTCAATGATATTATAATTAATACATATTTAGATAATATTCAGGAACGATGCATAAGTACGTATTTTTGCAACTATATGTTGCTCTCCTCAGAAGACCTGAAAGGTAAATGAAGATTATATCTGATTTCCTACTATCATTCAGATTATTCTCCAGAAATTTGCAATAATAAGACTTATCAATTACATTCTTCGCAATATTCAATATATAGTGTGTCCCACTTTGAGAAGCACCACCCTTGTCCCTTGTATTTTCTTAATAGTTGACCAAATTCTCACTTGTTCCCAGTGTGATGTATTTTTTTCGTCATTTCCAATAACCTAACCCCTGACCTGATTGAATAACTTCAATGTTTTTTTATTGAAACTGAAAATAAGAGGCGTAGTGGGTCAAGCATTTATCTATACAGGCTGTCCCATTTTCGATCTCCTTACGGGATATCTCACTTATTTTCAAAGATAAAAATTTGCGATTTTAGCGATACTTTTTTGTGTATATCACGATACCGCGAACGGAATTTGCATAACTCGCCTCGATTTTGAGAGATAGGGCGAAATTGATAATGTTGCATTTTGAGACACCCTAGTATCTCATTTATCTTTCAACTTATCGAAAAAGTAAGAACTGCCTTCTACTCATTTTTCCACTTTTTCACGTAGAATCCAAAGTTAGGTTTTCCATTTGGAACACCCTGTATAGTTTTCTATATTTTCAAAAATTGATATTCTGCCCTTTCTGATAATATCCAACGCTTATCAGAAATTTCAAGATTTAGCCATGAATTCAGATAATTTCTAGATTTTCAGCCATGAAAATATGTGACAACATTGTCCATATCTCGAATTTTCATATTCACCTTGTTGCTGATATATTGTTTCATGCACACGCTAGTTCTAATTTCACCAACATTCAAAATTTACCAATATTTACCAACAGCTGAATAGGAGACAAGGGTGTATTTGCAATTTCATACTAACCAAAATTACAAAAACAAATGATTCTGTACAAAACAAAGGTGCCATAACAATTAGAAATTTATCAGGAAAAATCAATGAACAGTCATCATAGTTTTTATTTCTGACTGAATTGAATATACACACAGGGTATTCTATCCTTTTGACTGATTTCATAATATATGCATGATAAATGAAAAAAAAACATTGAGTTCGGAAAAATTTCATGCCAGTACGACGAGTGGAAATCGGTATTACTTTTCTCACAACCATATCATGCTGAAATGCTGCAACTTATACAGGGTGTAAATTTGAAAACTTTCAATGCGAATATCTTCCGAAATAAAAAAGTTAGAAAAACGCCGCTTGGCATGCTAAAGAGTAAAGGGGAACTAGATCCACCATATTTCAGTGAAGGGATGAGTCACCCTGTCAGCGCAACACACCCCAACTTTGGAATGTTAAATGGCACTACCTCTTTTGTGATACCTCAAATGAACGGTCTCAGTCAGTAGTATTCACCTGTACAAGACTTTTTTTCCACCCACTACAGGGTGTACGAAAAACATTAATTCGAGGGTCTAAATTTGAAAACTTTCAATGCGAATATCTCGATAAATAAAACAGTTAGGAAAACGCCGTTTGGCACAAATGCTACAGAGTTAGGGGGAACTAGAACCACCATACTTCAGTAAAGGGATGAGTCACCCCGTCGGCGCGACACACTCCATCTTTGAAATGTCAAATGGCACTACCTCTTTTGTGATACCTCAAATGAACGGTCTCAGTCAGTAGTATTCACCTGTACGAGACTTATTTTCCACCCACTACAGGGTGAACGGAAAACATAAAATCGAATGAAATAAAATGCAGAATGCGGATATATTCCAAGAGATGTGTTCCAAAATGTTAGAATGGCATTTGAACATCGATTATACTATTGCTTACAACACAATGAAATGCATTTTGAACATCTGATCAAATAAAATATCCTTTTAACACAATTCATTATATTTTATTCAACTAGATATTCTTCGTGCACCCTGTAGTGGGTGGAAAAAAACTCCTGTACAGGTGAATACTACTGACTGAGACTGTTCACTTGAGGCATCACAAAAAAGGTAGTGCCATTTGACATTTCAAAGTTGGGGTGTGTCGCGCCGACGGGGTGACTCATCCCTTGACCGAAATATGGTGCGTTCTAGTTCCCCTTAACTCTTCAGCATTTTTGCCAAACGGCGTTTTTCTAACTTTTTTCTTTCGCGAGATATTCGCATTGGAAGTTTTCAACTTTACACCCTGTAGATATCGTAGGTAACGCGAAAAAAATCGATTATTTTGAACTGTGACTGTTACACCGGAATTCACCTGAACGTTTTCGAACCATGATATTCGTTCAGGCGTTCTGATAGTTTTGATCAAAGTGGCGCAAACCTCATTTTAGGGAAGCGGTGCATTTCAATACACGTACGATTATTGAAGAAATTTCATTTAGACGAGACGAAAATATGCCCTTGAATTATCCGTAGTGAAATTGGAAACACCCTGTATATTTCTGGGAAACATGATACTCTTACACAGCATCTTCCTAAACAAATTATGCAACAAAAACGAGTTTGTGCGGTTCATCACTCAATTTAATTGAAAAAAACACGTTTTATATGCAAAACCAGTCAAGTCATGACTCATTTATTATGATAGTCGTGAAATATGCATGATTGGCAATTCCATCGGAGCGATTAGTTATTTTTTTCTCCCACAGAAATATTCATTCGAGAAATCTAATTCCATTTTGATAAATAGGCGAACACTCCACTGTGGTATTCTATACCATAAATTGATCAATAGCTGTAAGCCGAAATACCTGTATAGAATATTGAGATTCCGTACCGATGTTCATAATTTGAATAAAAGATCCAGAGAAAATCTCACGCCTCCCTCCCACAAAACTGCTATTTTTACCAGATCCTGTTTATACAATATAGTGAAGTTATTCAATTCTATTTTTCTAACATTGAGAAGTCTCTCTAGCTCCAATTTCCGAAATAAATACAACCATTTACTCCTCATCCTATAGCCAAACATAGAAAAAGAGAGAAAGTATTCGAAGTATTAGATTTTTTTCTCTGATGTATATATAGTAGTAAGTTTCACAATAATTTCAATCCGAATTATTTTTCCCGACAAATAAGATTAACTTTCATTTTGCCATGTTTTTCGTCTCCTATTACCCATTTTATTAATCGCTGCAATTTCGGAAACATCCTGTATAGTATATTTATATTTTATATCTCAAAATCACTCATTCAATTCGATGTATTTGAAACTATATGCTATATGCCTCCAGAATTACACTTGCTGTTAGCTGTCGAAGACTGATTCAGCTAGTGAATCTCTCTGTACATTAGAATAACCAGAATTACCTGGTATGATTTCTGTTGTTTAAAACTTACTTCCTTTCCGTTTTCATTCTTTTTCGATGGCTCTGTAGAAGATACCACAAAACTGTTATCACTAGGAGCAGTCGACGTTACTGTAAAAAATAACGCCAAAACCGGCAAAGTGAAGAGAATCATGTTGACCGGTCACTCTTTTTAGCATCTGTCCATGAACGGAATAAAGATAATTCAAACTGGTATTTCTATTTGGTCACCAAGATATTTATTGACCAGCATCAAACTTGGCGATAACCAATTAAATGTTATTCAATATTTTTTTTATATACATATAGTTTTAGGTAGACTGAGCTATCTCTATCTGGGGTTATCCCACCTCGATAATAGTTATCATACTTGGTATTTCTTTGTAGGTTATTCCATCTTCCATCTTCATGGTAATTAATATGAATACTAGGTGTAATCCTTTCTCATTGATATATATCCTTATTTGAATTACTTCACAATCAATTCATCATTAATGAATACATGCAAGGAATATTCACCGTGTCTATATAATTGTTTAATAATATTATAATAGCTACAAAAATACTATTCATGAACTATAAATAGTGTGAATCTATAAAGGGATATATGATCAACATAAATATGACGATGGGAAACATAGAGGAATCTCCTGAAACACGTCAATTTATATTTCCAATTTGCCACATTTATAACGGAAAATCAAATATTTATGGTGACCCACGTTTCAGTTATGATGACCGTGACAATTATTTCGAATAGAACACCCTATATATTATTCACGTTTTGAAATCTCCATGGAATGCTGAATTCAAAAATCTTTTACACATAGGGTTAATATACAGTGCTTCCGAAAAATTCGATACTCTCGGTAAGTGCGGTGGAAGAATTTCATTTTATCAATACTATTGATTTATGAGAAATGTCCTGAAACAATCGATTTTTATTTTCAATACGTCACATTCATTAGGAAAAAGTGAATGTACAGAGCCCTTTGATTTATGACGTCCACGACAGCTTCTCAAAATGGAACACACCATATATTATTGAATTTTTGGATTCCTCATGAGAAACTGAATTCAGAACTATATCACACTCAGGGTTTGTATCCGCAGTACTGCCTGTTAAATTCAGTGCCATCTTGGAATTGGGTTGCCATTGGAAAAATACCTATGACTTAAATCCTCCTACACGAATTATTATAAATGTATGATTGAATGAATTGAATCTGAAGGAATGCCTGAATAAAAGATAAAAAAATTTGGCGGCTCTGAGCGTTCTTTCCAAAATTGTGCCCTTTAATGTTCAACGAATTTATCCACTATCTTTACGAAAGCATACTTGATTTAATGGACGCACTCTATGCAAACCCTGTATGTAATATATTTTTCAATTCTGCTTTCCATGAAGATTTCAAAAATTGAATAGAATATAGGATGTTTCATTTGGAAAAATTGTCATGGACGTCATAACTCAAACATAGATCATCCTCTATATATGATTTTTCCACATAAATATGGCAAATTGAAAATATATCGACCTTCTTTCAGAAGATTTCTCACTCACTCAATTTAACGCACCGTATACGAAACCTATGTGTAATACATTTTTGAAATCAGTTTTCCATGGTGATTCCAAGAATAAAATAAAATAATAGAGTATTGCATTTGAAAAAATTCTCGCGCTCGCCATAACTCAAACGTGGATCACCCTGTTTATTCAATTTTCTGTTATGAATGTGGAAAACTGATAATAAAAATCGACCAGTTCCAAGAAATTCCTCAGAATTTGATAGTTTGGCTGAAAATCAATTTGTTCAGTACTTTACTATCGATAAATTAGCCTAGATCCGTGCCTATCACAGATCGATTTGATACAGTACTTTCTTCTGATGGCAAAATTCTACCTTTGGGATACTTATAATTCAACTAATGTAACTCAGAACTAAAATAATTCGAATCGGTCTTTAACAGTTTTAGCCTACCCAGTTGAAATAAAAGATGTCTTCTGTATATGGTATAGAATTCGAAATTCAACTTGGATATTTCCATAAGATCTCAATTCTTACAAAAACCATTATGACAGCGAACATTTTAGAAACTCTATATGCGTGTCATATTTATAATATTTGTTGAAATGAAATCGTTCTCTCGCTTCATCTCCGTGTAGGATTGAGTTTGCCCTAATTACATTTTACCTCTCAAAAACGTTCCTCAAGTTATATCTGTTCTGGATTATAAAATGTAAACGTGATCGAAATCTAATTAGAAAAATAATTTCCCCTCTCTGTTGGGAAATTATTGATGAAATCAGATTGAATTTGTCGAAGGAGCCAGCTAATGAACTGTATTGGAAGTCAGCACCTTTTACTTGATGTGTTCGAGTAGGTACCTTCAAGGAAATCTGTTTCAGTACAGTAATTGTTTATTTTGACAATGATTGACAAAAACTATACACACATGAACACATTTTGTGAAAAGAGAATAAGGGATTGAATTAAATGTACTTGTTCACAAATCCCATCGCCACAGGGTCACCAAAATTATTGGTAGACTGTAATTGCGCGAAGCAGTCAGGGTTCTCAACAGGGTATCCTAAACCCATGGTCCCAAAAATGGTATGTTGTGTTACAGACAGGACAAACCGTTACTATTTGGGATACGTCTGCTAGATAAATGGTAATTGAAGTGAGATTGGAATTTTTCGTTCCTAGCTATGAACTGTTTTTTTAATGACAATTTATTTGGTGTATTGAAATTCCCACAAGTTGCTGTAATTTTGTTTTGTCATTATGACGGCGAGTTAAGTTAGCCCTTCCACAGCGACAACTCCACTTTTGTTTTTTTTCTCTCGTTGTTGATGATGTTCGAAGAACAAGGGATATGAGGTAGGTGTTTGATTTCTTTTTTGATTCTTTGAAGGATATATAAGTTCTTGGGAATACTCCCATTGGCCAAGAATTCCAAAGCTTTGCCGTTCCATAGACGAAAGAGTTTTCGTGAAGTATGGTTCGACATATGACGAGGTTCACAACGCTTCACAAGGATGTGCTGACTGGGCCTGTTGAATTCGTCTGACAGGTACATACTTCTAGTGATGGAATAATAACAGAGATACCTGGGGAATATTTTCCGTAGAAGTATCTAGAAAAAAGTAAAATGTTGCCGACTTTTTTATGGTGTTCTAATGAGGTCAGAGAGTCAGTGAGTGTGGCATCACCCACCATGCGAATGGCTCTTTTCTGAATGGGATCTAAGAGCATCAGCGTATGTTTGAATGCAGTACTCCATATGTGAGAACATTATTCTAAAACTGACCGTATCTGTGCTTTGTAGCTTATATAGTTGGAGTAGGAACACTGTACCAAAATTGATCCTTCTGGAATGCCGGAATTGATGGCATAAGTATCAGACGAACTCCGTCCACCACCACATGTAGCGATCTGCCTGTAAGAAAACTCGATGAAAGATGGCATAGCTGAGGTGATAAGCCGTATGATAGTGATTTGTGGAGGAGTCCTTGGTACCAAACACAGTCGAATGCGTTCGATATATCCAATATCCAAGGCCACAGCCAGAGAAGCTTGTTATATATGGGTGACGTAGGCAAGTAAATCTACAGTTGATCTTTGGTGGCGGAATCTGAGAATATTCCTTTCTAATACGAAAGTCATATTTTTTTATCATTCATGATTCCTGGGCTCATCAGATATTTGATGAGCTCACTGTTGATGGTTTTCTCCATCACTTTGCACATGTAGTTCAAAGTTTTCAAAGTGTTTACCTCCTTTGGTTGAACAAGTGAATGTGGTATCACAGTCACTCACAGCGTGCAAAGAGAGGATGTGTTGAGACAGTATTTCATTCAATGCTGTGATTGGATGGAACCACTAAAAAGAGCTGTCCCTCTTCCTGGTTTGAGGAAGTATACGTTTGCTGGAGCTGATAAGCCAACCAACAGTATTCCAGAGATCGAAATCCTCTCTGTGATGAGATGATAATGATATCGCTGTAGTAATAATCAGTTAAGAATTCATCTCAAATGAAGAATAACCGATTGAATTATCAATATATGTAAAACTATTGGTCCATTCAGATTATTCAGCCAATCAGCTCCTCAGACTGCTAATTTGATTGTTGATTCTTATTAAACTTGAATTTATGAATTCAACAAAAATGCTCAGAAAAAGCAGGGAACAGCGACGGCAGGGGATTTCTTCTATATATAATATCTCAATTTCAAGTGATATTATCTCAAAATAATTATAGTTATATTCTTACATATATAAAACACAAGTGGAACGAGATCATGGAAGGATCGCCAAGTTTTCAAGTCATGGTAATGGTTCAGATGGAATCTCACCAAAATTCAATTTTTTATCTTTCAGTTATCCGCAAATTATGAGTCATCCATTCGATCTTACCGTATCGCTCTGGATGCGAATAAAAGCTAAAATGATTAGCTACAACTCAATTCTAGTCAATTCTCCTTGTTGGATCAGTGTTATCTTCATTATTTAGCTCAAAAGTTGACTCAAAACTTTAATTTTCATTTTTACTTTTGAAACTACGGTGCTGCGGTTAGGCTCAATTTGTGGCAAATCATTTTTTACAAATAGGGTGAGATTCATTTTTTCGCTGTAACAAAAACTTTATCATATTGCGAAAAAACAGAAAAGCGAAAAAAATTCACTGTTTTTTTCGAATATATCAAAATGCACCGCGGAATTTTGTTGGATAATTCCAGATTCAGATTCAGCAACTCAAAAAACATAGGGAACAATGACAAAACCGACTACTGGATTTTTCGTAACGTAAAACTACCATTTGCCTGTATCAAATGTACGTACCTGATCAAAAATAATAGTTTTTTTTTTTTGATATTTTAGTAGCAGTAGTGGTTGCTTTCTTCATTTGTTGGGCTCCGTTCCATGCACAACGGCTTCTGGCTATCTATGGTGAGCACACTTCTGCCCACATGATTAAGGCCTTCCAGATTCTGACCTACATCAGCGGGGTATTTTATTACCTCTCCACTACTGTTAATCCGCTGCTTTACCACATCATGTCAAATAAGTTCAGGGAGGCTTTTAAGGTAAGTCCCCGTAGTGTGTTATTGCAAACTGTACTCACTGGGTAATAATTTGATTTTATTTT